GACAGTATTGACAGAGTATAAGGACAGACCTTGTGTGTGGCTGGATGCTGCTGCACACTGCCACTCTGACTGAGCAGGTGAAAAACGAACCTGCTAAAAAGGTGCAGATTCTTGGATGGGTAAACTGATAGGGTTTGTCCTGCAGCTGTGTAATTGCCAGAGAATATTCCAGGGAAGGGCTAGGAATGTGCAGCTGGAAGCAACAGCAGGGCTGCTGCTTCTAGGTGTGTCTTCATCTGTCCCACCCCCTAATTTACAGCAGATTAAGTACAACATGAAACTGCATGCTCTTGGTATTGATGCAGACACGCCTTGTTCTAATTTTTGTTCCCCCCATTTACTTGCTCATAAAATTGAGTTAATCTCTGCAGCATCCAAGTTTCTATCTTTTGAGTGTTAGTGCTGTGATGTAAGTGAAGTGCTTATGCTTAAAAATGTGAGAGCGAAACACGACTGACTGGGGATGCCATGTTGTCTTTTCCCCCCCCAGTACTTTTCTGCTGTAAAAATGCTGGTGTTTCTTTTTGTTTGTTCTATTTAAACCAGTGGTCTAAGAGTGGGGTGATACTTCTTATTCTGCAAGGTATTTTCTCCTTGCCTATTGGTTGCATGCTGGGGAGTTCTTAAGGAAGAAGTTCCTGAAAGGAACTAAATGCTATATTTTGTTCAGTGACTGAACTGCTGTGCAGTTGAAGCAGTCTTCAGCTTATTTATTTATTCAATGTCCATCTGCTATGCCTAGAAATAGCTCTGTTTCAGATGATAATGAAAATGCTGAAATGCTGTAGAAAGTGCACTCGATCAATGTAGGGTGTCCTCGCTGTTAGGCTTGCTAGTACTGTCATCTTGTTCTTGGAGCACGAAACTGAGGTGATAGCTAACAATAAGGACGAGGAATTGTTTGCTGCCTTTCTGTACAGAAATGTAACACTGTACACTATGTCACTGGCTCTGTAGCCAGTGGAGTTGGGCCCCACCTAAAATGTCTGAAGAGTGAAGATCTTTTTCAAGTGTAGGTCATCTTTAAATAAATGATTTAAGGTTTAAAAAATGATGTCCATCAAGTGATTTCTTAATTCAGCATTACTGTTCCTTTCTGTAAAGGATGTTTAGAACTACCTGATGTTGAATTGATGGCAGGATGTTTTTAAATCTTCATCATAATCTTAACGCACGTCTCTTTCAGCATTGTCTATATTTCTGATTTTTATTAAACTCTTCAGGTATCGTATTTACATGTTAGATACAACTAACTCTAGAGGAGAACAGCAGTTTTGTGTCAGCATGTCAGCATCTCTGTCACATCGTTACTTGGAATTGATCTGGTAAGTTACGTGACTTCACATCACTACTGGCACTGTTGCTGCCCTTGAATTACTGATGCCTCTCCACAGTTCAGGTGAAACAAAGGTGATAGATAACTGGATAGAGCTCTCCTTAGAGGTTTAAAACAAAGTTCCTGTTTAATTTTAACAGCTGCTGGCTGCTTGTATACTCCTCTCACAGGTCTGTGAAGTGTATCAGACATACTTTGGAATGCGACTGACCTCCTGTTGTTTGGCTTGGTGCTTGGGCTGTTTGTTGGTTTCTGAAGCTCCAGTATGTAATTCTTAAATGTTACAAACTCCTGGGAGACTCCCAGGGTTTTTCTCTTCTAGAATCTGTGACGCTGCTCTTGAATTACTGGTTTTACGAACAAAAGCAGTCATGCTGTAGGCTCTGTGTAAGACTTCGAGGCACAGAATTGTCCTTTGGAAGGTGTTATGTTCAAACAATGAGCTCCTGTGTGTTTCTAATACCTATAGCTGTGATTGTGAGTTTAGTGCTGGTGTTTGAAGTCTGCTGATGCATCACTCATACTATGCTTCATATTTTTAGCAGTTGACAAATACAACACAATCCATCTCCTTGATCTTGTGGTGCCCCTAGGACTGTCCATCTGAGTTTGGGCAGGTGGTTTCCTTTTTGTACTACTGGACCACTGCATTGGTTGTGCTCATGTGGAAGAGCAGACCTTGGAGCAGCTGCCCTCTGCTAATAGTCTTGGTGCCCATCGTAAGACTCCATCAGTTCCACTAATGAAATTACAGATCTGACAGAGTGACTTTGTTGCTAGGCTACCTGTCCTCTGAAAAGCCAGTTTTCCTCAGCTTCATCTGACCTTTTTAATCTACCAGTTGCTGATTCAAATACAGACACTAAGCACTAAGCTTCAATATCTTTTTCACGGCGTCTAATCTTCTAGGTATCTACAGGGAGCAGCGGTAGCAGAGGTTAACGTGCAAATGTTTTGTGTTACAATGGCTACTGTAACACTGAGTTTGTGATAGAAGTACTTAATATGAATGCCCAGATGGATTCTTTGTTCAAAATTTGTTCATGATGGTCAGTAAAGATTGGAAGTGTTGAGTGTTGAAAAGATTTGAGTCAGGAGGATGACGATACCATTTTGTATCAGAACAAGATTTGTGATTTCTTTTAACTGGTGGCAAAATATGTATTTTCTCTGATCTTCAGGTTATACACTTCATCAGTCTTGTTTCAGTTTTTACATCAATCAGAGTGCCAAGTGTTTGGCTGCAAATGGGATTCTTGGGGAAGAGGGTTCTTGGAGCTGACTCCAGGTATTGTGGAACCTTATGGATTCGGTGAGCAGTCATCGATAAATGCTAGATTAGAAAGCAAACTGCACTATCATGGAAGCCTGAATGATAAGTGGTTGAAAGTGAGGAGTGTTCCTGTGTGACTTCTGTACTTCCCTTACCACTGACTTGTTCGTTGCAGGGGAACTGGACGAGATGACCTTTAAAGATCCCTTCCAACTCTAAGGCTTCTGTGATTCGATGATTCTGTGACTTCTGTTTGTCAGTGTAGAAAGCATAGCCTGCAGTTTCATCTAGTGCCTGTGCTCTGTATGTTGCATTCTCTGAAGTGGAGAACAGAAATGGGATGAGGAGCCCAGGTCTTTTCCCATTTTTATGTACGCAACAACTCAAGGTTCAGATCCAAACACAGTGCATAATTAATGAGTTGATCCCGACCTGTCAATATTTGGTCTAAAAGGTACTTAAAAAAAAAAAAGCCCACCTTAATATTGTCCTATTTCTGATCTGAACTGAGGCAAAATAAATGTGCTTTCTTAATGGCAGCTGTTCATGTAATACACAGTGGGCGCTGCTGCCTGCCAGTTGTGTAAGTGCTTGGCAGATGTCCAGCGTGTTTCAGTTGCGTTGCTGCTGGTTGCCAGGAAGTGACAATGCAGTGTCAGAATGAATAAGTGCATTTGTTTTGTGTGTTTCTTAAATACACAAATGGTAGGTGGTGTTTTAGATCTGTCTATTTTATGGCCGTATTTAGGTATGCAAGTATTATATGTGAACATATTTCTCATTTCCATTTCTACTAAACCCCTTTTTTTCCTGGAATTATTGTAAACAAAACCACTTGTGAATACTTCAGTGACATGTTTTCTGAACTAAGTGAAAACATTTGCAGTTTTAGAGTGCTTATTCTTGTATGCTGTTACACACAATATGGTATTTTTCCATACTTATTTGACATACACCAAAGGAAACTGTAGTCTGAAAATGTTATCACTGGTGACTGTATGCATGTAAAAATGGATTACTGTGTTACTTGGATCTTCTTGCTGTCTTCATTTCTTGGTTCTTGGTCCATGGCAAACCTTTTCCAACAGCTGATACTACTTTGTGTGTGCTTGGTAAGATCAGGCCTTCCTTATGGGTAGTCCATAATCAGCCATGCACCAACAAGTACAACAAGTACGCCTGGGAATGGGGCTGAGTCTTTCAGTTAGCTACCAACCTGGGGAGATTTCTGGTAGAAATCAGTGCACATTTTTCTACTCTTGTTATTTCAGAGTTTCACAAGATTGGTTTATGTTTCTTGAGTACAACTGATTTTACTGCTTCTTCAAACTAATGCTGTAATTACCTTCTTCCTTCAACGATAATTTTCTTTAAAAGAAATTACCGTTCTACTTAGGCACAGTCTTAAGTTCTGTTTATTCATGTGGAATGAGGCAGTTGCCATCAGAATTTGAATTGTTAGATGTAAGCTGAATTTTGGAAACTTACGAACTCTTCTCAAATCTTGCTTTACTGCTTTTATTCACAACTGCTTTGTTAAACTTCTGTGGTTATCTTTGTCATTAGTTTGTTGTAATATTTCTGGGGCTTATAGCTTGATTTTATTTATTTATTTCCCAGAGCTTCTGCTGGGAAATAGGTAGTTGTCATTGGAAGTTAGAGAATTGCAGTTAAATCCCTTACGTTACTGAAACCTTATTCACAAAGCATAACACTGTAGTAAAACTGTTTCGGTAACTTACTGTGGGGAATTACGAATTGGAATGTGGATGGTCGACTGTTTTAATGAATATTAAGAGGAAAACTCATGATGTATGACTTCCACGTATGAGTTTTTGAAAGTTCTAGAAGGGTTTTGTATGGAATTCTTGTCAGTTCCTAGTAACGAATCAGAATCAAATGGCAGGTCAGGCGTGAAGATTGAAATAGTGATGGATGTTATAAATTGCTCACAGAAGTCATATTAATGTGACTTCTGCAATGTTTCAAGTGTCGGTATTCTGCCCACTTCTGGAAGATGTTATCCTAAATTATATTTTGTTGTAGTAATGAAATAAATTATGGGAAAGTTTTCTATTAAAATGGAAAACTAGTTTGTGTATTCCTACATATACGTACTGAATCTGATTTTGATATGTTCTTGAAAATTTGAAACTTACATAGTATTTGTTACCCTCACTTTTGGTATCTTTGAAGTGAATTGAGTTGAACACTCACTTTGCATTATTACATGTTCTCTTTATAAGACAGGGTTTTCAGCTTTTCTGTTGAAAGTAATGGGACCAATAAATAATGGCTGCTAATACTTGTCCAAATGATTTAATTTGACCTTGGTATGATCTTCACTGATTTTTTTTTTTTTTTTTTTTTGTGGGCTTTCCTTTATTCTAGCTGTCCAAGACCAACTTCTCCAACAACAATGATTTTCGGGCTCTTCTGCAATCTCTGTATGCCACATTCAAGGAATTTAAAATGCACGAGCAGATTGAAAATGAGTGCATCATTGGTTTACTTCAGCAGCGTAGCCGGACGGTGTACAATGTGCACTCAGACAACAAACTCTCCGAGATGCTCAGCCTTTTTGAGAAAGGGCTAAAGAACGTAAAGGTAAATAGACTGACAAGGACTTGTCCTAAGGACAGTGTGCTGTGATGATGTTCATTTGCCTCAACTTTTCATAATTTTCTCTACAAATAAATTAAAAGCAGTGAAGCATTTGTGATTTGCCATTCACTGCAGTTATTAAAATTCTATTAAAAACTCTCTTTAGGATTCTAGAGAAGTCTAAACTCTGCATAATTGGAGATATCTTAGAGTCCAAGCGCTGACTGAATTGTGGCAGCTCAGAGCTGTGTGCTGGGGAACGTATTCCAGTACACAGCCACCCTCTGGTGCCAGACCTTTTCCTAACACCCAGCCTGAGCCTCTCCTGTTGCAGCTCCATGCCATGCTGAAGAGGAGTTCAACTTAATTCTGCTGTGTTGTTTCTCTGCAGCAGATAGCACAACTCTGTCGCTTCTTCAGTTCTAGGCACTATAGTCTGTATTAATAGTTTGATATCTCACTGTGCTTTTGTAGTGCACACGTTAACATATTCTCAGTAAGAAAAGTAGCAAAGTTAATCAATCAACTGTTCCTAACGTCTGAAGTGATATTTGAGCTGAGAATCCTACAAATATCTTTTTCCCTGTGAATATCAAACCTTGAAGTTTTGTTTAAGTAATTGTAAAATGAAGGAACATGAAGGAAAGGGGGAAATTAACACTTACATTTTCTGAAAGGGTGCTAATGTTATTCCGTTGCCTTATATTGATGTACTTGTAAAAATGTTTTTTTGTGTAATTAGATTAACTGTTGGCACAAGATTTTTGTGTAGTAATGTTCCTTTGTAGAAGCTTGAGAAGAAGGTCTTACAACATTTGCTGAAGAACCATGAGGAACTGCGTGTTGCAATATGGACAGACCATATAACAAATCTATTACTGGAACAAAGAGCAAGCTAGTAATTTGATAGATGAAGTTGGTCAATATTTAACATTTAAGTCACGTCCTTATTTTAAAGATCTTTGAATTTCAAAAGTAAATATGTACTAATATATTAAAAATATATATAGGCACATGGCTATAAATTGTTACTATAATTTTGATTCTAGAACTGTGGAATAACTTAAGTAAAATTTGTCAGTTCCATGTTGCCATTATACTACATGTATGCTTAGGCAAAACATGCAAATACTTGGATTAGCCTGTAACTGCTTTGAACTTTGGGTTAGGGTGTAGATTGGCAGGCTTCAGTCTTTACTTCGAAGTAAAAATGTGTTTAGACAAGCTAATTCATATCTGATAACAAAATAAACTGCTGTCGAGTGGGAGTGGAATGCTTTGTTCTGCATGGCAACAGGTCAGTACAGGCTGTCAGATTGTTATCAAACTTTGTAAGTTGATGTGTTTTTACTAGGAAATACAGCAAACTGCATTACATAGACTTTACCTTGAGATGCTTGTTTAGTGAACCTATGGATGGATAAGATTAGATAGTAGTTAAATTTTTTGCATTCTTTACAGAATGAATACGAACAGCTAAACTATGCGAAACAACTGAAGGAGAGATTGGAAGCCTTTACGAGGGATTTCCTTCCTCATATGAAGGAGGAAGAGGAGGTAGGTCGTTCTCAGATACTCTGCTGAACTCCTTGGTGTTTGAAACCATTGAGCAGAGACATAAAGGACTTGGTTTTTTTTTTTCCCACAGTTCTGTTTTTGTTATTTTTGTGCTAATTTGCATTCAGGACTGTGGTGTCATTGTTCAGTTCTGACTGGTATGTGACACATTCTAGAACAGTGAATATATTGAAAAATTATAGTGAAGTTCTGGTTCTTTTGAAAATTGGTAACAGAAGTCCACTGGGGTGAGGATTTGTGTATTGCAGATACAGCCTTTGAATGGTTACTTATCACACAGTACATTTCCATAACCTTTTGACTGGTGGTGATGCATTAAAATAATGCTAAAAAGTTGAAATGATTAAAGTGTTGTGTAATTACAGTGATAAATCAAGGTTTGTGTTATATTCATCTACACACAGATGCTTTTGTCACAAATAACCTTTCTAGTAAGGGTTTAATATTATATAAAGTGTATAGAATATCACAGTAGACTTTAAATAAAGAATAAAGAATATGAAACCTGATGTTGTGCTTAATTTCTCTCTCTTGAAGTTGTTGTCATATAGGCTAACAGTACAAAAATTAATTTATAAAATAGAAGATGTAGTATAAAGGGGCCTGACAGTCTTAAAATTATGGGTACAGTAAGTAAAAGAAATGCAGTATGCTATTCTAAATATTAGTAATGTTATTGTGACTTGCTCAGTCTGCACATCTGTTTTTTTAATAAGTTCTTCCTCTTTTTATAAAGAAATATTTGAAAATCCAATGTTCTTTAAAATTATAGTACTTTTTTTTTTACAACTTGTAAATGTAAAATAGTACCGGTCTGAAAGTTAAAAAGGGCAGTTGTCCTATGGCCTAGCAAAACTTAAAAGGTTCTATTAGCCAGTGCTTCATGAGTCAAACTGACACTCCCAGACAGCCTCTGACCTATATTTGAAACTTAAAGACTAGTAGTGCCAGTCTGATGATTTATGGGTATCCAAAAACTGAGAAGCATCTTCAGAGAGAATAAATCTTCCAAAGTCTGTCCAAGAGAAATCTTCCCTCATGTTTGTTTGCCCTGCCACTTTGCCTTCCATGTGAGTACATTGATAAGTTATTTAGTTTAAGCAATGTGTGTCCCTTCCCTTTCCTTTTGGAGAAAACAAGTAACAGCATGCTTGAAACTATTCAGCGACCCACTGGCACAGGGTCAGAATGTAGAAGTTACGTGATCTTGTCTTTAAGTTTATTCATGTATGCCATATTTACTTGGTGAGAATTGGAAAGAGGAAATTTTTGTCTTGTTAGATCTCTGTAGCGTTATTGATTTGTCTTTGTCGGTGTTGGACTGGTTTTTTTTGCCTTAGGTTTTTCAGCCAATGTTGATGGAATACTTCACTTACGAAGAACTGAAAGATATTAAGAAGAAAGTAATTGCACAACACTGCTCACAGAAGGAAGCTGCAGAATTCAGAGGTCTTAGTAAGTGGAATCAAGCTGAAGAGCTTCAGAAGGTCTTTAAATATTCTGTGGATGAGAAGACAGATCAAGGTGAGGCATTTAATTAAAGTGAAAACAGTTTTTCAAATGCAATTTTGTTTAAAAAGCCACATCATAGTATGTAACTTTAGTTATCTCGAGTAGATAAAATAGTTTTTATAAAACATAAATCCTTTCAAAACAGTTCAGAAACTGGATGGCTTCTGTTTGCTGTGGGCTTTTGGCAACTTGTGACTGATACTGTTCATCTTTTCACAAGCTTTTTCCTCTTCCCTCACTCCCATTATAATATTTTGTATGATAAACAGGTAGAAATGATGCATGAGTTTTAATTCCTTCCATCAAAAGTATATTTTCTATTTCCAGGCCCTGCCTTTAATTGTTGGTTTTTCAGGCCTGCCCTGTAAGCTTTTCTGTTGATAGTTTAGTAACACAGAGTAGTTAGCCAGCCAGCAAACTTTAAACTAAAAAGCAGTTTGCCTTCCCCTGCTGCGCTAGCTAATTTCCTTGAGTCTCTTGGGAATTTGAAAGGAAGATGTGTTTGTAGAGTGATGCAAGGGAATGAATCCATACATTGTGTGAATACATGAGATGAAACGTGCGTTCTGAAAGTGGATGTTTTGTTTGCATTTGTGTAACTCTGCTTTCCCTGTTGGAAAATCCTTGTTAGTCTGAATGGATGATTACTGAAGTGCACTTCAGGCTCCTATATGACTAGAAGCAGCCTACAACCTCAGTCTTTATGGTTCTCACTCCTAACTAAAGAAGAGTTAATGTAGCAAAGGGGAATTAATGTGTCGAAAATATAATGTTGGAGTGAAACTGACGAATAGCTTCCTCTTTGATAAGGTGTGGTGCTCGCATCAGGAAAACGAGGAAAAGCTCCGTTCTTTCTGATGATATTTGACTTCTCTGAGCTACTTAACTGGTCAGAAGAGTCTGCTATTCATGGTGTGAAATACTGTTGTACCTGAGCAGATGAATATGACAGAAGTAGCTTTATGGCTTTACTTGCTATTTTGTCTAGCCAGAATTGCGGTTTTGGGACAGTGCTAATTCTGCAACAACCGTGTTCTGGACTTCAGGGAAAGGGAAGAATATCTTTCAATTTTTAAAAATGGAGGAAATTTCACAACTGTAGCCTTGCACAGTTCTAACAGAGAATTTTAGTGTGAAATTCCCTGTAGTCAGTGTGCAGTGACTGAACAGGTGCCCCAATAAACACCTTGATTCATCAAGTGAAACTATAATTCCATCTTTGTTTTTGAAATAGCAACAGATTATCACAAGGTAAATTATTTTACATTAGTCACCTTTGAAGCATTCCTGCAAAGGAGGAAAAACCTGAACCTTGTCTCACAGTCAAGTTCTAACTTTAAATCCTTACTGATTTCTGAAACTCGCTGTTTTTAAGGACTGCTGAAAATCTCTTCAGAAATATTTTTTCTGAAGTAAAGTAAATTAACTGTATACAAATCATAAAAATCCTCTAAAATAGCAAAAAAAAAAAAAAAAAAAAGACAACCTTAACATGTTCACCAAATATTTTGTTTTGCAAGACAATCTTTCTCTTGTAATGCAATAAGACCAGGCCTCAGACCAGTCTGAAGACCATAAGCACATTGCCAGTCTTGGCTGGGCTGTCCTATACCCACCCTGTAGTCTGGATTTGGTGCCTCGTGACTTCCATTTGCTTGTGCTGATGAAAGATGGATGGTGTGGGCAATGTTTTCTTTGCAGTGACAATATCTTTGCAGCTGGGTCAACTCTGCTGGTACAGATTTTGTTGAGCGTAGCATGCAGGTTGTTTTTCATAAGTGTTGAAAATGCAGAACTAACGGTGATCACTATGTTGAAAATCGGTGCTTTGTATCTGAGAATTTGCTCTGTCAAGCAGTGTTATTGGGATCTTTGTAGCTTCTATGGAAATAAATAGGAGGCATTAATTTTGGAGTGACCTGTGTGCCATACTTGCAGCTCTGTAGCATGGTGTAAATAAGAGAGAAAGCTGTTAGAGATGACTCCTACTGTTGTCCATGGATGTATGGAATACAGTAGTTAATGTTTAGTCACTAACCTAATTCTTAGTCTTTCCTTCTGGCCCAAATGACTTGTCACCATTCAGAAGATGAAATTTTTTTGCCTAAACTTGAAGTAAAAGCTAGAAATAAAAATGAGACAGCTGCCAAGAGCTGTGTGTGGACTTCTTGCTGTGTTCCAGTCAAGAGGCTGAGAGCTTTCAGTGAGCGTTTACTGGAAATCTGACAAAGCAGGTATATATATATATCACATGTGGCATGAGGAGCAGTTTATTTTTGTCCAGGACTTTTTTTGAGGCCTTGTGGGTCAGAGTCAGGGGGAAAAAAAGCTACCCAGGTGGGAAAACAGCATATAGAAGACCTAAAGTTTTTTATTAAGATAATGTAACAGTAGAAGCTTTTAAAGGCAAAGCAATGTGTGTGTTTTCATGTATTTTGTCAAACAGTTGTTTAAAAAATTTTAAATGCATTTTGAATAAATAAATGAAATGATAAAATATAAGTTATACCATTATTATTTAAAGCTACATGTGCTTCACAGAACACAACCTTTCTGTGTTTCAGAAGCTGAAGTAACCGGGCACACAACAAATATTACTAATCTTCCTCCTGAAGTGATGGTGACCATTTTCAGTTACCTTAACCCCCAGGAACTATGTCAGTGTAGCCAAGTAAGCACTGAATGGTCACAGCTGGCTAAAACTGGATCTCTTTGGAAACATCTTTATCCTGTTCGCTGGGCCAGAGGTAAGTTAAATTTAGTCCTTTCAAGGAAACATCGTCAGTAACAGAAGTTGAGTCTGTAGAAGACAATGAAGTGTTTTATTATCAGCTGTCATGCCATAGGCAGCAGTCCTGAGAGCTGAGCATGCTGGAAGGCTGTACCCTCTTGGCAAGGGGCTGCCTTGAAACTTGGTAAAATGTTAAAATAAATAATTTTTTAAAATCTGCAAGATGGAGGTATTAAGAAACTGAATGTTGGTCATTACTTATGAGTAGCTCTTGCATACAAGAGCTTGTTAGTTTTACTGAGGTTTGTTGTCTTGCATCACTGCTAATGACTATGTTCAGTAGTACCACATCTTAATTACAGTAGGGGGTTTGAGTTGTAAATGCTTCTGCTGCAACTATTCCAGTAACATTTTTATTTCATTATGTTATTAGGTAGAAATAGAATGTTCTTGTTAGCTCCCGACTAATCTGTTTTCCTTTGAGAAGTTTGTTCCGTGCTTCGCATGTGCCTGCAGAGTTGAAGTTCAAAACAGCAGAACTGTAGCACTTGGTCCTAACCTATTCTTGCTTAATTTTTATGTTCGGACTTCAAAGAAACTGCGTGGGTCAGTTTTATTGTCATTTCTTTAAATATCTTGAGTTGTACTGCAGTAAGGACTACAAGGTGGTGTATTACAATTTCTGTTTCTTATACATTCCATACTGAGAAATACAACTTTTTGTGAACATGTCTGTTCAGACAGACAAAATCTTCCTATTCTCTTAAGGCCAGTTACAAGTCAGAGTGTATCTATAGCTTAAAATACTTGGTTTTGTCCAGATCTCTGTGAATATTAAACAATCACTGAAGTATCTCATTGCAAGCCTCACAACTGATGCCATGTGTATGTGGTTGAGTGATTTTTGTTTTTAATAAGCTATATTTAATGAATCTTTATTAACTTTCTCTATTAAAAATTTTAAAATATGTAACTAAAATTCTGATCTAAAAGCTGGGAACTCTTTCTAGTTGTACCTTGGTGGCTTCTAAAATCTCTACAGGGCAGAGAGGAGTTAAGTGACCTTCTGGTCTCAATTATTTCTTTGGCTGTATCAATTTAAGTTAAAATTATAGATTGATCCCAGAGCTGCAATGGATTTGACTGTCTACAGAGGGGTTTTGAAGTTCTAATTCTTTGAATTTTTGTCTAAAACTTAGTTAAATTGATGTGTAAATGTTACACAAAAGAGGTAATTGGCAGCTGCCTAAATTGGCGTGTTCCTAAACCTGTTTTTGGCCTAGCAGGAAGCCATTCCCATGACGTACTGTCTATACTAATGCAGTTGCTTGTGGAGAAGTGCCCTAAACTGGATGGAAGCTTCTCAAAAAAAGAAAAAAACCAAAAAAAACCCTAAGCCTAAAAATATCTAACAACCCAAAACAAAACAAAAAAGCCCCATCCTGAAAACAGCATAAAATTACAGGCTTAGTTGAGAAACGTTGATGAAACTTTTCCTTTATAGGTGGCTGACAAATAATTTGGGTATTACAGTTGCTGTCTGTGTTGATAAAGGCAAAAGGTTTCTTACTCTTGATAGCATTCAACAGGGGTTGTTTTTCTTTGGGTCTAGTAGGACTTCCTACTAGTAAGGTAGTGGGATACTCTGAACCCAACACTACGGCATACCCAAAACTGAAAGTATGTTGCCCCTGTGTGGTAGCCCATGAGGAAAGGAAGGTACCCTTGCAAATAAAATAGTGGAGCTGATGTTGGCATTCATCCAGGCATTGTAGAAAATTGTTTGTTATCCTATGTAAATTATAATTGAATGTTATATTGCTGTTGTAAGTAGGCTACTTGTGGAGTTTGAGTTCTGTGATCATGTATTTGTTGTAGTGACTAAAAATGAACAAAAAAATACAAAGTGGTTGATATGGTTATGTGTTTACTGCTGTTTTCTCCTCCTAATTTTGTTTTCATCTTCTTTTTTTTAAAATGGGTGAGCAGGTGACTGGTACAGTGGTCCTGCAGCAGATCTTGAGATGGAACCTGATGAAGAATGGGTAAAAAATAGAAAAGATGAAAGTCGTGCTTTCCAGGAATGGGATGAAGATGCTGACATAGATGAGTCTGGTAGGTAAACTCAGATTTTTGGTGAAATTGTTTTTCTTAGAGATTATGTAACTATAGAGAGTTTATGAAATGAGTTCATTTGTCTAAAATCTTTTGTTTCTAATGGATTTTCATATTTGATTTGTGTACTGTAAGATAATGACAGATGCAGAAACACATTCTATCTAGGTAAATGCTTTCTAAGCCAAGCAGACTTAGGCAGTGAGAAAGAACTTCAGAAGTTTTGTCTAGCAACCAGTTGGTGTTGCTGAAGGGAGTGCCTTTTCCCTATTTTCATCTCATCCTGACTCTCAGTTCAGTCAAGAAGCCAGGGGAGATTTTCACCACCACCAACAGGAAGAAGGCAGCTGATTTTGACATGCTGAATCACTTAATCTAGGAGAGAGCAAATGTGAGTCAGGTGAAAGAAGAGTTATGGGGACATGTCAGGAGTTAAAAGGAGAAAAAAGATGCTTTGTCTCTAGGAAGCTTGGATGAATCGTGTTGCATCCTAATGTATTTTAAATTTAAAGTAAGATTTGTATTAAGCTGTTATATCACAGCATGTGAAGTGGCCTGTGAGATAGTATTTCACTGTATACAGCAAGTCAGTGGAAGTTGCAGTTCCAGGTGACTATTTTTACTTGCTGTTGGAGTCAGTCTTTCTGCCAGTCCTGAAGAGTTTAACAGATTTTCAAGATAGGACTTAAGAATGGAGCTAAAATTCAGCAGGAGTTTTGAGGCAGGGTGCTTTCTGAAACTTAAGTGGTGTTAGAGGTTCTTTGGTTTCCCGATAACCTGTGTGATGTAAGCTGACAGCATGGATTCCAATTGGCCAGATGCATTTTAAGTCTTTCTCTTTGGTTTTATTTTGCAGAAGAAGCAGCAGAAGATTCACTTGCCATTAATATAGCACAGATGGAGAAGCGTTTACTTCATGGCTTAATTCATAATGTTCTCCCACATGTAGGCTCCTCAGTGAAGACATTAGTACTGGCCTACAGCTCTGCAGTGTCTAGCAAAATGGTATGTAATTTGAAGCTAGCACTTAATAATTGTGGCTTTGCAGCCTATAATTAATAACTGATTTGTCTGAGTTTAAAGCACAATGGTTGTGAAAACAAGTTGCAATTCAGAAGAATTTAACTGAGCATGTTGACTCTGACACTGTGGTCTTCTTGGCTAATGATTGCTGATTATTCTTCCTTTTTCAGGTTAGACAGATCTTGGAGCTTTGCCCCAATTTGGAATATTTGGATCTCACTCAAACTGATATTTCAGACTCAGCATTTGAAAGGTTAGTCAATTTTTGTTTCCTGAAAATCAGTGAGTAAAAATGAAGGGATGGGGAGGAAGCATTCAAGCATCTATTACTCTGTTTCAAGTATGAGAAATAAAGAGATCAGTCTATGTTCACACATAATGAAGGAATAAACCAGATTAACAATGAATGAAACAGTAAGTAAAGTCTGACTTGGTAATGGCCATTTTAGAATCCTTGTCTTAGCTATTTTTAAAACCCATCAAAGTATAGCTATCATAGCAATTTAATTTCATGCTAATTCTAATAACTTGAAATTATTCATAGATATATTTTTAGGAGTTATTGCACTTCTTGTTCCAACGTATCAGGTAATGTTTGGAGCACTATTTTTTAAGATGCAGATCAAATGGTGGGTAAAGTTGTAGGGCCTAGGTGTATTACTGTGGATTCCTGAGTTTTACAGAAGTCTGCAGAAAATACGTTTAGCATCAGTGGGATGATGTATGTGTGCAGAACCTGTACAGAAGTGTCTTTGTATGATGCTGGAACTCCATGGTTGTTTCACTATGCAATGTTTTCATCATACAGTGCTCTTAAGTTCTGTTTATTAACAGCGCCTTAAAATGTTACCAGCATGGTTGCTCACATGAGTGCTCTGCAACTTGTACAAGAAGTTTAAATTGAAATGAAGACTTTAATGGAATTTACATGGTTCAGAATTTGATCTTTGTGAGCCTTTGTCAATCTCTAGTAAACGTTAAATATTCTTCTCCTTCATTATATATCTGTACATCCAATCTTAAAATCTGTAATTCAGAAATAGGTTTCATTTGCTGTAGATGTTAACACTCTCCATTAACTGTGGTAAAAACTGTACACTTTTATAGTTAATAATGCAACAGTACTACTGTAGATCAAATTTGCTTCAGTTGAAACATAAGACATAGAAGGGGTGAATTTGCATTAATATGCAAGTATGTCCATAGCTAAGGCTAATCACCTACAGAATAACTAATACCATACAGAGTGTTTCAGCAGACCAGATATTCTTTCTGAAAGAAACAGGAAGTTCTTGAGAGAAAGATATAGGATCTGAGACCACTGATAGTGTAGGCATGCAAGCTTCAGAAACTCAAACAGTAATAAACTACATCTATTAAAATACTTAGAACTGAATATTACAGGTGTTTCACTTGCTTCAGTGAAATTTGCTAATTCATTAAGTTCACATTTTTCAGCTTTCTGATAAATATTTGATTTCTCCTGAGTTACCTGGCTTTAGGGATCAGCATTATATGCAGAAAAAAACTGTTGCATGTATTTGGTGCTTGCAGTTTCTTAAGGATTATTCAAGGTTTAGTAAACATGGACACCTTACATTTCAATATATGGAAAAGTACAGTGTTATTGATTTGTGATTAATTTCATGTTTCTTTAGGCATGACTTCTAGGCATATTTACTTGCAGTGTCAAACCTAACCTGTAATCTGAGGGAACTTTTAATGTTCTGTGAATTAATATCAGTATTTCCCTTATGAAATGTTTTTTTGTATGTGTAGTTACAAGATCTGTTTCTGACCAAAAACAAGTAATTGCTTTTCATTTTATTTCAGTTGGTCTTCAATTGGTTGTTGTCAAAACCTTCGCCACTTTGATCTGTCTGGATGTGAAAAGATCACCGATGTGGCCATAGAGAGGTTTTCCAGAGCTTTGGGTATCATATCAACTCACCATAACAGAGGCATTCTGAAAGGCTGCAGAAACAGGAATGCTAAGACTTCATGGAAAAACAGAGAGATTACTCTGCAGTCCAACAAGAAGTATAATTGCTTGCATGAAATCAACAATGAAAACCTCATTGAGGGAACAGACAGTAAGCATCATTGGACTAAACCTGACAGCTCTGAAAACTTCAGTTCTGCGTATGTGTGGATGCTGAATGCGGATGATTTAGCTGATATTGAAGATGCTGCAGAGTGGAGACACAGAAATGTTGAAGGATTTTGTCTTGTGGAGCCGGCATCCCACATTAATTGTGCTGCATCTTGCTGCAGTAGAGACATTTATGGTTTAAGGACTAGAGGGTGGCAGCAGCACTGTGCTTCTACTGACTTCATTTACTGCGGTCACTCATTTTGCTGTGGTGGAACAGCACTAAGAACTATTCGAGCACTTCCAGAGTCCTCTGCACTGTGTAAAAAACCAACAAGGACTAAACAGTCAGAGGAAAAAGACTTGGCATACTCTGGCAGTGACAAACCAGATGAAGAGACTGCACGAGTTCTTCAGTTTCTCAGTCTGTCTGGGTGTTACCAGATCACAGATCGTGCTCTCAGGTGAAAAGATGTTTCTGAGCTGTTTTGCTGCAGTGTGGTTTTTGTATTATCTGTACGGTTGGGTTGCTCTGTGTTGAGTCCACCTAGCTTCAGTTTAAACACTTTTATTGAGAACGTCTGATATATCTTAAGCAGTCCTTGCATCTCAAAGTATTGAGAATAGCAGACGTGAAATTTTTCTTCCAACTCTTCCTTTGAATGAAAGCATTAAAAAAAAATTCTTTTAGCTCTTCTGAAATGATGAAAGTAGATGAAAGCATAACTTACTACTCATTTAGATTTGATTTGTAGTGATTTCTTATTAGGAAATTCGGTGCTGGTTTATTTTTTTTCTTCCTGTTATGCCTGCCAAACTTGTGAATACTCTTCAAGCTTTAAAACCAAACCAGAGTAACATTGCATTTAACTTGTCTGGCTGATGACAGAATTTTGTATGTGTGTAAGAACATGTTAGAAGTGGTTTTATGTAAAGCATAGAATTTAGTTGAAGTTATCTTGAGTGTTGAGGCAGCTTCGTGACAGTTCATAGAATCATAGAATGGCTTGAGTTGAGAAGGACCACAGTGCTCATCTAGTTTCACATAGCTATGTGCAGGGTCGCCAACCAGCAGACCAGGCTGCCCAGAGCCACATCCAGCCTGGCCTTGAATGCCTCCAGGGATGGGGCATCCACATCCTCCTCGGGTGACCTTGTTCCAGTGCATCACCACCCTCTTTGTGGAAAAACTTCCTCCTAATATTTAACCTAAACCTCCTGTCGAGTTTAAAACCATTCCCTCTTGTGCAATTGATGCTTTGTAGTATGTCAGAAATGTGTGGTTACAGCTTCATAATGAAAATGATACAAGACAAAAATGCTGCAGTCACTTGCTCACATGTGCTATAGCTCCTGGGACTAATTAGAGCTGCTTGCAGTTCAGAGACTTCATACCTACTTGTACTGTACACTGTAGTCTGTGGACAAATTCTGTAAAGGAGTGCTGGCATTGAATTGCCTCTCCATATACTTCACCCCTCTTTGACGAAGAACTTTAGAAGTTCAGATGTCTCCTAGCAGTTATTTTGGGACAGATAGCTGTGCTTTGTATCTGAGCCTGGTGTTGTCCAAGTGTCGGAGCAGGCTGGTACTGCTGACAGTGGTTCATTTGGCAATGGATAGGTAATGCTGCATATAGCTGATGTGTTACTGGTGTTATTCCTCACTGAGTCCTCTAGAATCAAAGGAAGATTTGATTTTTGAGTCACAGGGAGTGTTTAGTTGTGCCAGTTTCACATCAGTGCTTTTTAGATACAGAGTTAAGAGTTGAGGGTATATTCTGCAGTAAGTGCTTCTTGCATTTCTATAATACTTTGGGTCCTGGAAGAGAAAATGAGACTCTAATGTAAATATTTGGCAGTTCATTTCATATAAACTTAACTTTATACTGTTTTTTTTTTTATAGCTGGTTTTGTTAGTTGTTCTTTTTCCCATCTGCTGACAACGGAAAGTTTTGTATACTCATGCTCTTAGGACATAAAACTGAAAAGGCCTTTGCTTGAACCTGAAACATGTTGATTGAAGCATGAGTAGCTTTGTCTGTTCTCTCCTTCCGATGGGTGAGCTTGTGATTGAACTCGGTTAGCTGCCCTATGAGCGCAGAGAAGCAGTCAGCCTAACGCAGAGTGAGGGGTCAGATGCACCACAGCCCTGAGGCTGCTTTATCTGCAGTTGAACTCTTGCACTTGGAGGGAAAATAGAATTTGGTTTGAGTAGCATGCAGTGGTGAGTTGGCAGAGAGAGGCTCCACTGATAAAGATTTATCTGACCTCAGAAAACATGACTCTGAGTTTTGAACTGACGAATAAGAAACAGTACTCAAAATGTTGGAAGCTTTGCACACCAAACTTTTGGAATGTCATACAATTCTGTTTTTGGGATGTGTTGAGAAATATACATCACCATGGAAGTCTCACCAAAGACCAGTAGTGTATTGGAGAAGTGTGTAATGCTGGCTCTTAGAAGTACTTGGTCATCGCCAGTCATTAATAAACAATGATTTCCCACTGAAATGTATTTCTGTCAAAGGGAATTGTTAATTTCTGTAGAGATGGATTCATTTTTCAGCCCTGTTGTGTGGCTTCAAGGCTGATTAACTGTATGGGATGCCAGACTTGAGTGGCTTATTAGAGATGTGGGTTTTTTTTGCAAGATGTTAGTAAATATGTGACTTGGTGATATATGGGAGTACTTCTCAGTGTAGTGCTGTGCAAGCTTTTAACACCCCTCTTTCTGTCTGTTAACAGGGCGTTGACTTTGGGAGGAGGACTGCCACACTTGGAGCACCTCAATCTCTCGGGTTGTCTCACTGTAACTGGTGCAGGCCTGCAGGATTTAGTTTCTGCATGCCCTTCTCTAAATGATGAACACTTTTACTACTGTGACAACATTAACGGTAATGTCTTTATGAAGATGTGATCCTTGTCTGGGGAGTACTGTCTGGCTTAAGGATGTTTTAGAAACAAAAAAAATACCACCACTACCACTAACAAAAACCAACAAACAAAAAAAACAAAAACAAAAACAAAAAAACCCACAAAAACCCAACACACAGCGTCACCACCACAAAAACTAAAAAAGCCTGCAAACTCTTTTTCTTGGCTGCGTAACACTGAATTCAAATACTAATTACAAAATCAAAACTTCTATATCAGGGTGGTTTTTTTGGTATTGAAGTCTAATACAGTTCTGTATTGCCTAAGGGGAAGACATTTTTAGTCCATGTTCTCTTACTTCAGATTGGTGTAGGTAATAGAGGCTTAGAAAGTAATTATATAACTGGCACACAATTGGTCCTCTTCATCTCTTCCCTGTAAATGATGTAGTTAAGTGCTTTCTTCCTGGTGCTTGAAACAGAGCTATCATTAGATTGATAGTAAAGTGATCTTTGGGGGGGATGGGCAGAGGGGGCAGAGCTTGTTATGCAAACCTGACATGTTAAAGTGGTTTTGGTGTAGAATGCTATCATGTATCCTTGTGGGAAATGTAACTTAGTTTTTCTAGTTTTGCTTGAATTACTTAGGGTTGAATCTCAGCTGGAGAAGGATCTGGATAAATGCATAAAATGTTTGTGGTGGAAGTCTTTTTAGTGTTTACTGCACTGGAATCCAGTCTATTATGTCAGGTCCAGTAAGCGTTCGTAGCATTAGAGATGGGAACCGTGGTGTGATTTTATTCCATGTGTGAATTTAAAACAGGTAAGTGCAACAGAATGGAAAGAGAGGAAAACTGAGTTCACAGGATTATAAGAACTGTGTGTAAAACAACATTATATTTCCCCGATAGTTCATGGCAATGAGCTCAGTTTGCATCTATACTGAGATGTAGCCACAGCAGGTATACAGGATGCCACAGCTTTGGTACTGCGAGTGAAACTGTACTGATGCTTGGATATTGCATCCATTGAAGTTCACGTGAGGTGATGTGTTTTACTGGACTGCATCCTAACATTGCTAGTCAACGTATTAAATCATTTTTGCTTCTATAATTTTTGGATGACTTTATGACACTTTTTAAAATGACTTTTTGACAGCCTTTGCTGTTTGCTACCCAGTTTCTTTCCATCTAGACCACAGATTTGTAAAACATCTCCTTGCATTTCAATCTGAAAATTCTTAATACCTTTTTAGAATCCTTCACTGACTCTTTCCCGCATCAGGTTGAATTTAACAATGTCTCCAAAGACCAGTTAGAAGCCTTTTCCTCCTTCATTTTATTCCTTTTTTCTTATTTTCTCTTTTTCCACTTGTCAGTAATACCAGATTTGATGTCCTGGTTTGTCTTTAGCTGTTTCTGTCTGTCTCCCTTGCTCTAGTCTCTAAAATACAGTGCATCATCGTAGTTCAAAAAGCCAGAATCACTTGTGCAAGTTCTCCACTGCTTTAAAGCTTGACTGTTCCATAGTAACCTTAAGAAATTATTTATATTTCAACAGAATACACTGTGGAATAATTTTGTGAAATTGTCCCAATGATTGATGAATTATCCTTTTTCCTTTTTTTTTTTCTTTCTTATGAGAGTAGGTATCCTAGCAGAACTCTGAAATGAGAAATAGCCTTTTATAACTGAATTCTCTGCAGCTTTATCAGGATACTGTTCTTTATTTTTACCTAAATTTCACTGTGATAGTACTGAGCAAATACCTGTTCTACTCTGTGGGCATCAGGATTCCTGGGACAACATTTGATATTTTTGAAGTAACTGCAGGGAAAGTAAAAAGTTGTTTAGTTTAAATCAATTTCTATCAGAAACTGTTTACGTTTCTTTGCTCGTATAGATTACATTAAGTGCTGTGCAAAAATTATTGACCTGTAGAGAATAATTTCATAATTTTCTTTGCCCACCAGCAGATCAGGGAATGTTTTCGGGGAAGGAGATTTGTTCTGGGATCACGTTGGAAAACCCGTCAGTCTTGCAGAACAAAAAATGGAGCCAACAGCATGGAATTTAGCCATCTTTGAGTAATAAAGATACCCTGTTATCTTTGAAATATAAAGGCTTTACTTCCACCTACAGCCTATTCTCAGAATTTTTTTTCTATAAAGTTTGAGCTTGACAGAGGGCCCAGTATATGCAGCTTCACTCATGTTCACTGTGGAGATCTTGCTGGACTTGTTTGCTTGGCGTGTTTGCAATTTTCAGACTTTCATTTCAAATGCTATTATACATGTAGCTGTTGTACATATCTTGTAGCGTTAGTCACAGCTGTTGTACAGCAGTCATATGAGCAGAGCCTGTAAACTTGCATGCATCTCCAGATTTAGTTTGTTTGTTTACTGTCAGTATGATTCCAGTTCTTGGTTTGCATAGTAACACTTAGTTTGGAACCTCTGCCTGCTTCACTCTGTGCTGGAGACTTGGAGTTAAATAACCCTCAGCTGCAGCTGAAAACAAATCTGTTACGCTCCTCCTAATTGCTGACTTTGTTGGATGCCTGAAACACATTTGTTTCTCCAGTTGTGCTGAACTCAGTAAGAGAACTTGAATGTTTGAATTACCTCTTGCACTTAGAAATTTCTATTTCCCCCCATTTTGTCCTGTTCTGTCTTAGCTGTGTTCAGTCTCTGTATTATACTTCCAGTTTTAAAGCCTGTAATGCAGTCAGCTTCAGGGTTAGAATGTAGTTCCTGTAGTAGTACCTTGCTGCTTTCACATAGGATTTAATTTCTACTGGCTTTTTAAAATGTGGTTTTCATGTACTGGGATTAAAGGAATAGGGAAATATTTGTTAATAAAACAAAGTTGTGGCAGTTTCTGATGATTCACTCTTCTCTTGACACTTAAAAATGTTTTGGTCACAGCTGGATCTGTCTTCCAGCAATGGAACTTTGAACTTAGCAATTTCTGTTTAGATCTGTGGACTCCCGTGTGCAGATTTATACAGGGGTGCATTGATATTAGACTTCTAGGAGTTTGATCTCTCCATAAATTCTCCATATAACAAAGGCACTGTGATAATGTTCTGATGTGTAATTTCACCAGAGGCTGACAAAGAATAGCACTTAAGGCCAATATTAATTTTAAATCTCCATTTATGTTTTCAAGATCAGTGCTTAATTTGATCACGTTCTTGTAATTCCCTTGTAATGTGCTCCACTACCATCCAATGTGGTATCTGCTGTTGAGAATATAGGAGCCTCTCACTGAGCTGCAGTTCTAAACCTGTGCAACTCTTCCCCCTGCTTTGGGCTGTGGCTTTGCAGTGGTGGCTGTGGAAATGAGGCATCTTTCCTTCCCTCCTTGTGTTTCTGACAGCTCCTTTTTGCTGCCTTCCTGCTGTCAGTGTTTATGTAGCTGCTTGGTAAACTAAATGAAGAACTGGGGGTAGCAGGAGGCCTTTTTCCATCTCAGATGGGTTGGGGATCAGTCCTGCTGTAGACCACAAGTATTGCTGCTGCCAAAGGTGAGAGCTAAAGGGGTGTGGTGGCAGCAGCCAACTGTGCCTTGCACGAGTGACTCTTCCACCCCAGTTTGGGTTGGAGTGCATTTTGTGTAAAATGCTCTACTTCTTTCTAGGAAACTTTGTATGCCTTACTAAAAGTAAACAAAATCAAGTAATCAGGTAGCTATGTTTCTTTCTTAGCCAGGCACATTCATATTACCAGGTTTTGAAAACACTGAGGGCTATTCAGGAGGAAGAGGTAAACCTTTGTTCTGGGTCACCTGAAGTAATCTGATGTATGTTTAAAGAGCATTATGGTAATCCAGTTTAGAGGCAGCTAAACCAGTAATGTAGACAGTGGCAGGTTAGATGAGAATCTGATTAACTTTGCTTCTCCAGGTGAATGACCCCAAACTTCATTTTACTTAAGCACTTCACAGTACAGAACATAGTGAGTATGTCCTTCTTTGGGATGTTGTGGTTCTGCTAGTTTTGTCACAAGTATTATTACTGGAAGTGTGGCGGTTGCTTCAGATTACTGTGATGTGCTGCTTAGCTGTGGCAGTGATGGGGAAGGTCAGCTCTGAGTTGGAAAGTGCTGCACAGAACGTGCTCTGCTAAAACAACTATTCAGAACCACCAAGTCTTCTTTTTAAAGAACTTTGGAAGAAGCTTTCAAACTCTAGCTTGTAAGTGATGCGAAAAATCAGGTGAACAGAGAGAATAGAAAATGAGTTCACCTACAAATTGAAGTATTGCTGTTTTCCTTATTTGTAACCACTGTCCTTGATTATAGCTTCAGGTTTATTTTATTCAGTCTCATGCATGCTAACTTAGTTATTTTGTAGAATATTGCTCCTCGACGTGTGGTGTGAAGCAGAAAACTGATTTGAAGACACTGTTCTGGGGGATTAATTATGACTTCATGTTACTGTTCAAGGGGGAAAACAAGCCAGATGTAGCATGGTGCCCTTATTTATTACATTATTTTGCTACTCATAAATGTATTAGAAACACATTTCAGAAGGATTTGATTTGTTTCACATATGGAGGGGGGGAAATGGATTGTCCTGGTTAGTTCTTTACCAGTTTGCTTTAGTTAATTAGAAGCGTGCTGCTGAGTTATGTTGGGTGCCAGAGTTCAGCCAACCCACATGCAAATGTTTGTTTCTGAAGCAGGCGTATGGCTGCAGGAAATAAAATCCTATACTAATACATTTTATAGTTTCTCATGATCACTTTTAACACTTCAAATTAAAGGGAGAACAGTAAGTGAAGGTAAGTGGAGGTGGGTAGTATTACAGTATTGGTTTATACTGTCTGTGCTCACAACTTCCTTTTTGAGGAACTGTTTTAGCTTTTATGGCTTCTGATAAAGCACCTTTACTGTCACTGCAGATTTTTCCTTTTAGTCCTGGATTTCCAGTCAGAGTACAGGAGCTGTAGCCAACTATGTTGTGCTTGTGGAGAAACGCTCCAGACTGAGAACTGTTTCCATATGATGGGTTGTTTTCTGTAATGCCATGATGGCATCCCCTGAATTTGAAAAAAGCAGGCATTAAATACATGCTATGGAAATGTACTTTGACTTTAAAAGGCAGCTGTGGGTGCTTTCTGAAGTTTGAAGATTGATGGTTGCTCATCCCACACCTGTGTCACTGAATGTTACACTCATGGCACTAAGCTGTCAGTGTAAAAAAAGAAAACCTATTAAAAAAAAAAACAACAACTCAGGGAGGTGTTAGTGATACCAGCAGTGGTATTTCAGGTGTTCCCAATGCTGGATGAAGTTTTGTGTTTAAGCAAACAAACAAAAGATGTTTTATGAATTACAAGGTTAGAAGATATCTTCTAAGCCTATCTTCTTCTTTTCACATTTGTTCTGTTTTTGTGCAGGTCCTCATGCTGAAACCGCCAGTGGATGCCAGAATTTGCAGTGTGGTTTTCGGGCCTGCTGCCGCTCTGGCGAATGACCGCTGACTTCTGATCTTTCAGTCTACTTCATTTAGCTGAGCAGGCTTCCTTTCATGCACTTTACTTACAGTTTGCATCTTGTGTTAACAATCCTTGGAGTGAGATCTGTTATACTAGCCTTGACCCTGCCCGTAACTTCAGAATCTTAAGTGTACTGTACAGTGTTGTAACAATCTCACGATCTCATTTGGTTTGAAAGGTGTTGGGTTTTCCTTTTATTTTGGGAAGATGGGAAAACATGCAGATTTTTTTTAATGCCACTTTCTTCCAAGTTTGGCACTTAAATATACTTTAATGGATTATTTTGTGTTAAGTGAATGGTTTCTTATTTTTAATCCATCAGTACAATATAAAGCTCTGCGGCTAATTTGAAATGTATTGTTTGCATTTGGGTAACAGTAATACATCTTTAGGAGCCTTGTTTCTCCCCCTTTCCTCTCATCTTGAAGTTGTCCTTTATATTGCAAAATTAGGGTAATTCCCACTTTCCTTTTGCATTTGGTTTTGTATTTGGGCTTGAAAGACATACTCAAATAAAACATTCCCACCACTAAAAACTTGATGTAGCAGTGGAATATGTATGCTTTTGAAGTGTGATATAAAGGTGTGAGATAAATACTGATAAGCTGAAGAGGTTTGGTGAGGGCTGGATGGTGGTAGCATACTGTGAACCTTGAAAATACACATTCCTACCTCTAGTGACTGCATTTCTAAGCAACTTCCATGAAAGTCAGTTTTCATTCATAAGAAATCTGTAGATGATGTTTTCCCCATTGTTTTGATTTAAAGTAACCACTTCATTGAACAGCAGAGAGGAGCAGCAGGGATGCAGAGAAGCCACTGTTAGGCTGAGAGAGACCTGGGCTCTGAGAGAACTATGCTAAAAAAGAGCAAGGAGTGATGTATGAGGACAGCACTTCTCTCTTTGGGGTGTTGGGAGAAGAGAAGAGGCTGTTGCAAGAGAGGGTGAGTACTGTGATCTACATGGTCATCTGCTCAGGTTTGTTAGTTTTCTTTCAAGCAGATGCAGGGGGTGTAGCTGGCAGCCTTGCAGAAAAGCTAGTTTTGCAGGCTGACAGTATGCCAAACTAGTAATTTTTACACTTCTTATTACTTGGATAAATTATTGAGGAAGACAGCAGCAGTGCAGGTGGTTTATGTAGATTGAGTGTGGGAGGTCAGCTTGCAGGCACAGCTGGAGATAAGAGACAGTTTGTTGTACTGATACCATCTCACCTACCCACCCTTCCAAGGTTTGAGAGCATTTTCTTTTTTGCATCAAAACTGACAAAAAACACTACTGAATTTTAGTTAGTGGCAGAGACAGCAGCTAGAGGAAGTATGTGCAGTGTTCAGTTGGAAGCCTACCAGAGAGGTATGAAAGGATACTGTTGTCATAGCAACTGTTCTTTTAAGTAAACTGCATTAAAAACTCTTTGGTGCCCAAAGCCTAGATTGGATGTAAATGGCCTCTCATTCTGGCTCTGAGAGAAGTAATGAGATGTGTGGGCTTCCTTGCCTCTCTGAGGTGAAGAAGGAGCAGATGGGATGGTTCTTGTCCTTACTACTAGATATTAGTTACTGATTCCTGTGCAGACTGGTAGAGGGCTAATTCAGCTACAGAAAATAGTGTGAGTAGACCATGTTTTCTTTTTTCACCCTTTTCTGAAAAGATGTTGGACTTCAGAGATGTAATCAACTTATGTTGTTCAAGCAAAGCACTGTGATTACAGTGCAGATACTTGGTGCTTCATGTCAGTTCTGTAGAGGTGCTTTTCTGTTGATTAGAAGGGAATCTGTGGCTATCCCAGGCTCTAAACCAAAACTTTTGATCAGCATTTAATGGATGGACCAAGTCGTCTTTAGCCTTAAGCTCTACCTTAACTTTGATATGTTGTGATGAATATACTTCCTAGGCTGAAACCACCCTTACTTTCACTTGGAGGAGTTTAATTAACAAGGTACCTGAAGGAAAAGGATACTTATAAGCATCAACTCTTAACACCACTACTTTTACATAATTTTTAAAGTGATCACTAAAAGATTATTATCTGCAGGTAGCCCTAGTAAAGGATTCTGTGCTCTAAGTGATTTAATCAAATTCTTACACAAAATGGATGAGCTTTAACATTTATTTTTTGGTATAAATATTTTTTACTAGACCTTTAAAGAAAATACCTGAATGCTGCTGCTGTGACACAGACACAGAGTAGAGAAATGTTTTTAAAAAAGGAAGTATGGTCTTCAATGCTTGCTTTTTTGGTGCATGAAATTTACTTGGGAGTAAATAAAGCTCGGTTTTTGTACAGGAACTCAGGAAATGAGAAACTGCAACAGTTTATGTCAGATCTGAATGACAGCCCCTCTAACCAGGAGGAAAGGCTGTCAATGAAGACAACTGAGAACTACAAGTCATCTGCAAGGTGTAATTTCAGGAACCAAGTTTCACCTCAAAATAAGAAGGACAAACTCTACCAGTGAGTTCACTAACTAAATATGTGCATTTTTAATGCTTTTAAGCATGGCAAGTCCCACAGGGAGTTATAAAGTAATGTACAGAAATAAAGAGGAAACTGACAACTTACTTGAAATTCCAGAACATTACAGGTCGAGGTTAAGTTATCTCCTGTGGTTTTAAACTGAAAAAAGCTAAACGTTTGAAGCTTCTGAAAAATCAGGTTCTTGCTAGATTTTCAAGCTACCTGGGATAGCTCAAATCAGCAGTGAGAAATCTTATTTCCCCCTCCATCCAAAGTTGAGGTGTTCTGACTGGTCTGTACTACCGATTCCGTACAAGTGAAGCAACATAAATCCATGTGGAAAGAACATTTTGGGGGTAAGGATGAACGTACACAGCTAGAGCAAATTCAACATTGGAAACATCAATGGTATGAACTCCAGTACTGTGTACAGCTTCTACTAAAGGTCTGACTTCAGAAAATGGCATATGAATAGGAAATCCAGATACCTGGAAGAAAGAGAGAAGGGAAAAGAATCACAAGGTAAGAAGATGTCTGAATAAATGCAACACCTTCAACTTACAGGCATGATAAAATGAGTTTCTCTCTGCTGGCATGAGAAGATGCAATAAAAAGGTAGTTTTGAATTTAAATACCCCCTTTCTATTTCTTATACTCTAGGTAGGTTTCTGCAATTATTCGTAACTGAAAAAGGTTAAGTTCAAAGTGAAGCTATTTAGAAATCAACTAGAAAAAAAATGTTACTGAACAAAGAGCATAGTGTTGCTACTTTTCTGCCTCTTAACTGGAGAATACTGTTCATTGTACTCTGTCTGGAAATGGGAGGTGGCAGACATCTGTCCATAAACATTTTCAGGTAGGAATTGAAACCTTATTTTCAAAATTTCCATTTCCATATAGTATCCCTCTCAGGTCTGGTTTACATGAAGGAGCAGAAGGAAGGATTTATTTTTTATAACAGCCTTGAAATATGGGTACGGTGTATTGGCTACAGTGAATACTTATGCATACTTTGTCTTCTAAAAGAGCAGGAAACTTCAGTAAAACACGCTGTTGTATGGACTTCTGTGCCTGTAAGTTTACAGTGCCAGCTTTTTACTGGCAAGACTTGAGCTCAGTTGTACCAATCAACCTGTAAGTAAGTATAGTGCTAGAACTGTCAGAAACTTTGTTGAATATAACAAGCTGCATTATTCTGCTGCTGCTGTACCACAGCAGTCACTGCCTCCATTCCAGGCAAGTATACTTGTATTTATATCCATCTCTTACATTTTCACATGGAGCAGACATCACTACTTCACTTTGTAAAAGTATTGATTTATCTTTAATATAACAACTTGTGACTTCTGGTAGAAGAGGGAACAAGTAGCCCAGGACACAGCTCCTTACCACAGGTTGGGTCTGCTATTTCCATATAGTGACACATACAGTACAAATTATTTATATGCACAACTGTACCCTGTAATCTCCAAGCTGTTTTTGCAGCTCTGTCTGATGGTCATCTTCTACATCTTTGCCTTGGTTTTGTTCCAGCAGAGGCAGGAAGTTACGTAGGGTGGAGGTACAGTATCTGTTCCAGCGAGTTAAATGCCTTGGCCTCCATTCCATAATTTTCTCTTTCAGTATTTTTTCAATCCTATAATAAAATACACTTGTTATTGCAACTATATTCTTTATTCAAACCTGACCTGATCTCACTTGACCCACTTTTTACAGTTTATGAGCAACACAAATGACCTTAGTTAAAACTTAATACTGCCTAAAACTACAAAAAAAATCATGTAGCCAGTGTAGCTAAATTGTGTCCCTATGCTTAATAGTAAAGGGAGAGCAGGGGTCTACACACGTTTTTAGTCTATGCTCTCTCAGCCTCTTAAACTTCTACACCATTTTAGCTTATTAGGAAACTACAGCAGTGCTCAATCAGTTCTTCCTATCTGATGAACTCTGTTAAAAGAAGAGAACTTAAACTGTATTTTTAAGGGTCTTTAAGTCATTCTCAATTCCTAGACAGCATTCAAAGCCCATTTTTAGGATGTTGGTATGAATGTGCTCCACTTGGTGATCACTCTTTCCCTTTTGACAGCAGTTGTTTTAGTGGAAGGAGTACCTGCCCTGTAGTTCCACTGCAGCAGCCTTGTCCGAATGCTGATACACCAATTCTTCAGGCTAGCAAAGTAAAACACCCTGATATTAAAAGCACAATCTCTAACTATACAACAGTGTAACTTAATTCAGGTATTACTATCTTGGCAGTTAGTTAATGAACAGTTGACAATTACACCAAAATAATCTATACTGTAGCAAAGACATAATAAAAACATTAGGTAGATATGTGTGTAATGTGTTTATTTTTTCCCTGAGTAAGCTTCAACTACTTCTACTACTTCTTACAAATTCCATTAATTGTAGAGGAACTCCTGCTTGTTTATTAAGGACACATAAACAACTTGAAATAATACCTTTCTGGCTGTAAGACAGAAGTTGTTCTCTTTTTTTCTTTAGGGTTGTGTTAAAGATTTGTCCCAGTGTTTAGTGTTGTCCTTATACAAGTATTTAGAAGATAACAGATCTGCATTCATTTTGTATAAAGAGAAATTTTCAGTATTCCTGCTTTTAAATTTTAAAGGCACATGTGGGAAAGTCTTTTTAAAAGCTAGTTTTAGCACAGGAGGACATCTAATCACAGCAGTCCAAAGAATTTCTCTTCCCTAGTCCTGTGATTTCTCAGCTCCTCCCATTAAGTTGGTTTTAAGTGTATTATTACCTGAACACTGCAGAGCCCAGGGTATGGTAAGCTTCTTGAAAAGAAAGGCTTCCAAAGTTTTGGTTTGCTGATATCAAAACTTATCCTTACTGGAGAGTCCCACTGTTGGATATTAAACCAAATCTAGAAGAAAGCAAGTTTGTTTTTAATATACAGTCACAGCTATGGAACACTTAGATGGCAATAAAATACTATGTGATCTTGAATTCCCAAACCAATTACCATCCTGTATTCATGTGAAACAAGGCAGTCATGTTTGTCACAGCTAAACTGTCCAACTTCCACATTCTCATGCCAAGAGGGGGGCGGTGCTCATCTGTAACATTCTGTGCCTGCAGATACATACAGGCCTTTAACAAACTACTGCTAGGATGCAAGGTATTCTAATAGTTAATATGGAACCTTTTGTACTTGATGGTTCCTTTTACAACCTCTATGACACCACTTCCCAAGCCCTGGGGCTGGGCCTGCAGTTGGTTATTATGCTGCTGGCAGGGCACCTGCTCAACCACAATTCACTGTGGATTGGAACTGCCTGCCCTGAAACTTTTTGTTGGTGCTGTAGTTTGAGGTTTCTGATTAGGACATCAGCACTGAAGTCTTTAACTTCCATAGGTAGTAGAAGAAACAGCTAAGTTTTCCTTACTAACTCTGCAAGTGTTGCACCAGAACAAACCAAACCAATACCCAGAACACTTTCAATAAGAGATGGATGCTTTTACAATAAATATCCTTTAGAATATTCTTTCCAAATTCATTATTTGTGTTTAGGATTGAACCCCCAGAAAATAATTAAAAAAACCAACAACTAACCACATAAAATGCATGATATTTCAGAACTTCTACCCTGTCTGTATTCAAAACAGAAAATAAGAATTAAGCATTAGCTGCATCTTGGTGTGCAGTGGAAGCCTGACTCACTGTTTTCTTACAATGGATCAAAAAAAAAACCTGATGACTAGACTTCTAAACTCCTCTTAGTTTCCATTTGAATAAAACTTGGGGATTCTTCTCTAAGCTCCCATTGTTTCATCAGTTTCAGATTTTGCAGTACCACCAACTACACTGATGCTGTTGTAATATGAAGCTGACAAACGCACAATACAGAAAGTCAAGAAAAATGTCGCATGCACAACAGTATGGGATGCAGCAATGTGAGAAGACACAGAGCTCACTTACATTATCACAGCTGATCAGACAGTACACGCTTTGCAAGGGGCAGAAAGTATCATAGTGCTTGTAAAAGCAGCCAGTACTGGGATTCCAAATCACATACTGACTCTGCTCCAAAGTTAATACGTACGTGGTTTGTCCCTAGAAAGAAAAAAAATACAAGAAAGATGCTTTAGAATTGTCTTTAATGATAGTATGCTGTGTGGTGTTTGAAATATCATGTTTTTACTATTGAGATTAATAGTATGTTTTTGGCAAAATCCTGAAAGAATGTACAGGTTTGTTACAATTCAAGTAACACCTACATCATGTGTCCTCTGTCTCTTCTGTGGCAATTAAATGTTAACATGCAACCACCTTCAGCCATTCGAAAAATACAAATTCTGAAAATATTTAGTCAGCTTAGAGCCAATGGGAAATTCTATACCCAGGCACATTTAATGTGAGCCACTTTAGCATCAGCATGTCCTCCGTGGCTGCTGCCACAACACAAACCCAGGCAACCTCTGACTTAAGGACTGCTCACATAGTGACCTAACCCACCAACCTTCCTCATTCAGCCACAGAGGGAATAAAGAAAGATCAGGAACCCCTAAACCGCTTTTGCACTCACTATCCCAGGTACTCTGGAAGTAGAAGAAATCCTGGCTGTGAATGGACTCAGGACATTTTTCCAGCATTCATATGTGCCCAAATCCAGTCAAGGTTTACAGACTGTACTGCACCACAAGTACAGCAGCCGCAACCCGGCTGAGCATCAAAACAATGGGTGCAGAAAAAAAAACCACCACAGATTTCATCTCTACACAGACTGTATTTCTTCTCTCTCTCTCTCTGAAGAAAATCAGTTGAGTAGCACCAGTGTTAGATTACTACCTGGAAAACAGTGTGTTGGCAGGAGACAATTCTATCAACTGATGGGAACCAAAGTCTTTAGAGAATGAAAATTAATATTCTGACCAAATGAAGAAATCCTTTTACCTCAGGAATAGCATTTCCAATGATAAGCCAGGCTTTCTTCCCCATACCAAGAAAATAATTACACAAGAGCACGGCATGTTCTTCCTCATCCCCCGCCAGAAGATCAAGAAATTGCTAATTCAGGGGGGAAAAAAAAGGTTTCTATGTAGTTATAATTGGTGATTTTGACTTATGACATTAACTAATATTTCCTAACACTTCTGAAGCAAAAAAATTCTCTTGGATCTTTGCAACTGATCTTAGTTTTTCACTGGGCACTGTTTCAACATGCAGAATGCACAAAGAAAGAATAAATGCTGTGAAAATCCATCATGCAGATCTGAGATATTACAAGGACTGAGGTCTTCTGGGTAATTCTTCATTTCTCACACTCCTGGTTTCAGCTGGGATAGAGCTTATGTTCTTCATGGCAGGTGGTATGGTGCTGCATTTGGGATTTTTGATTAAAACAGTGATAACACACTGATGTTTTGCTGCCAACAATTTTATTTATTTATTTTTTAAGCACATTGCCATGTTTTCTCTGTGGTTCCTAAACATTACAATGATCAATTTCAAGTGTAGTTTTAAAGTCTCCATCAGTCAGCATCCTTTCCCTTGTGCCCAACTAGCCATTCAGAGTTTTTTTTTTTTTTTTTTATATGGGAGAAAAACAGGAAAAGCTTAGAACTCTGAAGTTTTCTCATGGTCATTTATAAGATTGCAAACATAAGATTGCAAATAGGGCAAGCAACTTCGCTCAAACACTGGTCCTCAGATATTCTGCTTTAAATGACATAAGAAGAAAAATCACTCCTTGCAATCATAGAATTCCAGAATAGGATAAGGTCTGAAGGGACCTCCAGAGTTTATCTAGCCTAACCTGCTCCAAAAGAGGGACTCACTTGCATGTCATATCACATTCATGAGGATGAAGACTGTTTAATGCATTACTTACATCTGATGTACACCACAGGTCACAAATCCCAGCAAATGATACACTATCTGGCAAAAAAGGAATCAAAGCAACATATCGAGCCACCAATTCCTGAAAAAAAACAAACAAACCAAAACAAAGTTTCAGCTCACTACACCTACATATATAAAGGCTTATAAGACTTGAAGCACAGTGCTGTTTCCCCAGACACCAAAGATAAAGCATTGAGTAACTTTGCAATATTATCAGATAACTTGTTTTTAGGAATTACAGCAATTTCTAAATCACAATTAAAAATTGCAATTTACTCCCACTGAGACTTGCCATAAATCATTCATATATCTATTTTTAAAAAATAAAAAAAGCATGATCATGGATACACTTCCTGTTTATCACGCATAGAGAATCAAACTACTACTTTAGTTTGTATTTCTAGTTTTTCCCATAAATTTAAGTGTAGTTGTACAGCAAACATAGCATTGGTATGTGTGTACATGCAGGCACAAAACACACACTGAAATCTATAACCCAGAAATGCCACGATCTTTCTTAAACACTTACTGCTGTTGTCTGAGAGCTATTTGGGAGGGCATCAAGGAGCTCCTGGGGTGGATTGAGAGGTTTGATGTATCTGGTAATAAAAACTGTTTTCCCATTGAGGTCAATTACAGTTGTTAGGCACTGACGGTTTGGAAACTTTGACGTACATTCAACTTCATATTTTTCTGCTGCTTGAAGCAATTTCTCATCTTCTTGGGTATCAAACTTCAAAAGACAGTAGAATTCATGTGAAAATAGTTCTACTGATAATTTGGGCTTAGGTCTTTCTTAAGTTTGACCTTACTTCACCATTTGCAGTAGCATAAAAGGAATGTGAAATTCTTTCCCAACAGTCTTTTCAGCTTCCCCTACATTACATACGTAGGCTCACAGACACAGAAGAAAGCTCAAGGCAATGGAAAAAAAACAAGCAATTACTTATGTTACTTAAGAACAGACAATGACCGTGTCTAAAAGTGGCTTGATTAAAGCACAACAAATGTAGTGACAGTTAGGCCAAGCACACTGCAGGGATGACTCTAACTTCACATCCTAACACAAAATGCACAAAAGTCTGGTCATCTTCACATGAATATTGCTAGGACAGTCCAGCACAGCGTCAAAATATTTGCAGAGAAGGTCCAGGACACTTTCAGATGTACCGTTACTATTCAGACTGCTCTAATGTTTCACAGCTTTTAGCTGAGCTTTTCCAGAAAGTATTTTAGTTCAAAATCAATTTCAGCATTTGCTGTCCTTCTTGCAAGAGAGGTAGAACAGCAGCACTCTGTAGGCAGACCTCCATGTCAGAAAAGGAGAGAGACAACGGTGATTCTTAACCGTAGTTAACAGCTGAAACTTAAAACTTTGAGAACTTTCAGAATTCCATTATAGCAATTCACTGCAAATATCACTGATAAAGAACGTCATAGTAAAGAAACACAAACTGCAAAAAGAGTGCTGCAACACCAAGCTTACTCTTCAGCAGGGAGTAACAACAATCTCTCAGTTGATTTAAACTATTAATAATTGTACCTTCTTAAGCATTTCGTTCATCTACAGAGATTCAGGAAGGACAGCAGAAAGAGGAAAAATAGGTAAAGAAATGAAATGAAGATTGAATGTCTCTAGTAAATGACTAGTTCTACATTGCAAAAAAAATTTTAAATATCAACTGCTGCTGTTTGTGCTTGAAAAATATACATCCTTATTGAATGAATCTCCAGTTAATTGCAGAATGCTGTATAATATGGCAAGAACACTCATTTGATGTTTAGAAGTAATTCTTTCAAGATCTGGAGACAAGTATGAAACATTCAAAAATAGCGTTTATTATGTACTACTAGAAACACAGAAGCAAGAAATACTGTAAATATACTTGTAACCTCCTTTCTGCCCATGGTTCACAAATCTTGATATGAATATTTTATTGCTAACAGAAGTAGATGAGAAAATTACATGCTCAGATAGTGAATGCAAGTTTGCTTATTTCTCGTGCGTTAAGTGTCCATCTGGTTTACTGGTGAATACAGTTAAATTGAACCAAGCTAAAAAATCTGACATAGAATACTGCAGTGTACTAAGCCTAACTACTTATATACATTTCAAAAGCTGCACCACTGCAAACAAATGGCAAGGATATGATTAATTATGGATTACTTACCTTCTCTCTGACTGACTCTCCAGGAACGAGCTGTGGTTCAATGGTAATGAACAGTGTTATATAGGAGCCCTCACTCAGATTTCGCACAGAGTCATACCCTCTCTCAATGCCCAGGTTCTTCTCTTTGCTGTAGCCAAGGAGCACCGGAGGAATATTCACTTTGAATGTACCATCAATCTACAACAAATACAGACAAGCAGTAGTACATACATACTAACTACTATAGCAAACAAACAAATCCAAAACATTTCTCATAAAACCAAAAAGTGAAACTACTAAGTCTTTCAAAGCGCCGCTCAGTGGGAAGGGAGAAGACAGTAAGTTATGACCACACATATGTAACTGTTCTCAATGATAGGTATGCAGTCTTTTTCTTTGTAGTCTTTTTAATATGTATTTTCAGTCCGCTGGTGAGTCTAAGTAGCAGTGCTGTAACACAGCAGTGTTTACCTGGAAGAATGACAGAATGGAAAAACACAGATTTGCAGGACTATCCTTCTGAAGGCAGCAGCACACCATAGGCTTTTGCACACCTGGGCATTATACTGCACACCTGGGCAGTATCTCATAGGTAGGCACCTTCCAGGCAGAAAATGCTGATGCTTCTTAGATGCAGTTGGAACTGGGACGATTCACAGCCAGCTCTCCTAAGAAGAGGGCTCTGGCAGACTCTCTGTCTTTCTGCAGCCACAAACAAGGTAAGGTCTTTGGGTAAAGTCACATCAGAAAGGAGCTGGCAAGCCCAGCATTTGCTCAGGCAAAACTCAAGAGTACACAGCCTTAAAAGGAAAGCAAGAAGATTAACCTCTGGATTTGAGCAGAGTTCAGATACCATTTGAGGCAAAATTTAAGGCTGTTTAGGAGATGCTATATATGAAGAACTGGCCATAACAGTGAGTCTCCATGCTTCTGGACAGGATGACAGCCATTGTGAAAGACATCTTCAGAAGATGAACAGACGACTGACTGGGCTAGCTCATCAAATACTTAAGAACAAAATTATGTTTTGATTAGAAGAAGATTAAATAAATCACTCAAGAATTTCTGCTATGATACAGTAGAACAGGATGAAGAAATAGTTCATTTGCCACTGCAGATTAATTGCTAGATACACCTTGTTATTACTGCTGAACCAATCACACTTTCAACTTAAGTAAGAAATCCCATTCATGTGAAAACAGTGCCAGGAAGATCTTGAAGGCACTCGTTTCTGTCTGAGAGCCCTTGGATACACCATCTTCTCGAAGAGTCAGGAGCGCATCTGACAGCAATCCTTAGACTACCTTGTACTATATTCAGCATGGGATGTTTCCCTGGAAAGAGTAAAGAATCTTGTTCTTTGTTTATTGGCCTGTAACAGTTGAAGGAGGAAAGGAGGGAAAGGTGAAATTTGAGAGGTGTGAAAAAAGAAGAGTCAGGTCAAGGTTTATTTAAACACTTATCTAGGCAATGCAGTACCAGAGATCTCAACAGCTACTGTCAAAATCATCTAAAGAATTTCCATTTCACTGAAGGAAACCAGGCAGCACTGTCAGCACAGAAATATGTTTGTCTGTCTTTGCTCCCTTCCAAATGTTGAACTCATTGGCAAATATTCACCAAATTTGACAAAGAACAGCAGTTTCAAAGATACTGTCGATCAATCAATAAAAATATACTGACAAGTACAGAGAACATAATTAAATTTGACTTTGCATTACCAGCCTCTTTCCACTCTGTTTTTAAGAGAAACATTTCAAGTTACTGACACTTACCCTAGCCTGAAAATATATTGTAGTAAAGGGAATCTTAACACATCCCAGCCAGTGCCTCTCGACACGAGTGCGGATACCACGTCCTCTGTCACGATCATCCTATTAAAAAGTTAGGCAACATAATTTGTAAGACAACTTCATTTCCTTTCACTCAATCAGCAGTCTCATCAGGGCATGAAAAAAATCCTAAATTGCTTTTAACAATTTAACCCACTAGAAGCGTAAGTTCAACTAGTATTATGGAGATAACAATTCTGCCTGCTTTTCAAGCATGTCAGGTGCTGAACAAAGTAGTCATAGTCAGTGATACAGTGTGACTGCACTTCAGGGTTCAAGTCTTCTGTAACTTCTGATGGAAAACTCAAAAATTTAACAGAGATTCCACAAGAACCTTTCCACATGTATAAATTGATCTTCTCGTGACATATTCCACTGCAATTTAAAAAGCCTTTAAAAGACTTTGAAAAATTGTATTCAAAACTGAATGAAAATTAACTAAATACTGTGGAATTAAAACAATGTTTTCACGTGTACTGGCTCTCTGATTTCCTGATCTAGTTACAATCAGCGTGTAAGTTCAAAAATGGAAGAGTTCCCAGAATACTGGAGTGATATCTGAATTTCTAGATTATACTTTTTTCCCTCCCGCTTCATCAAATACCTTTTCAGTTTTGAAGGCAAAATTCAGTTCTCAGTTAGATGCATGTAATGTTTATTCCTGCATTATGTTTTCAAGAATATTAAGTGCTGCTATTTTTATGCACGCTGAAATGACTGGGGAAAGCTTTCACTGACTTCAGCAGGCAAAGGTGTTATGCCAATATGGAGACAGTTTTTCACCTAACAGCTTGAAAAAAAAAGAGTAAGGCAGAACATAAAATGGTAGAGGTTAAAGAATGCAGGACCTTGGTAAGTCATCTGGCATGTAGTTAAAACAAACAAACAAAAAAAAACAATAAAAAAACCCAAGCAACCAAAAGAACCTGTATCAAATTTAGGAACAAAATTAAGACTACTATTCATACACTGACTCCCAATTTTACTACCTCCTAAGTCTTTAAATATAAGACAGATAACATACAGATGCTGACCTTCAGCAGCAGATTACACAGTACAAAATTAATTTGTGCAGACAAAAGTTAACTCTACAAACACTGCTCCCTTGAAGAACACTGCAATATTGACTAGATATAACACAATAATTAATAATGAAGAGAAAAAGGAAGCATAGGAGGGTGAGAGCTGCTACACTGGAAAGTCTTACTCTGACAAGTTCAGGAAGTTTGCAATATTCAGTGAAGTACATTGTCCTTCAATTATGAACTCACCTCTGTAACATCGTGTAGCACTTCATCAAAAATATTAATGAACACTTCATCTTTCACTGACTGCAAACTATGGGTGCTGTAGTCACCATTAGGAGCTCTGAAAAAGTTAAACAAAAAGAGGTGATTTAACAAAGCAGGAGAACTCTGATAAATCCATGTGTTCACACTGAACCGTTACCGCTCAGAAAAAAAATTTGATTTCATTTTTGCTGTACCTAAACGGAAACTCAAGTTCCTCATTCCAGTTGGGGTTTGGACCTTCTGCTGTTGTTGTCCGACAGACTGTTCGCTGAAAAGAAACTTCTACAAATGGACGGACTAAAACCTGTAAAAAGAGACCCAAACAAAGGAAACATTCATCAGAACGTGCTTGATTACATATTTTTATGTATTTAGAAAAAGAAACATATTTTGTGGTGGTCACGTTGGTCCAGCCCAGACACAACTCTTTACTATACCTCAAGCATTGCAGTTTACAGGCTTCTAAGCATTTATGAAGCTTTTAAAATAATTTTGTATGTTAGCATTTCAAGAAGGTGATGTGTATTCAGAATATTTCATATATACACACGGAAAACAATTTTTTCTCTAGCTCCACAGAAACTACTGGCTAACTAATCAAAGAAAGACTGAAACAAACGTGATTCAGAGAAAAAGTGTCCCTGTATTCTCATATTGCAGATAAGCAACTTTTACTAGACACAACAAACATCCAATTTGATTAAAAATGCATTAATGGAACATTTAATTAGCATTCAAATGCATACGTCAGAACCTATGCTAGATTTCAAGACCTAATTTTGAAGAACATCCTAAGAAAAACAAAAACCCCATCACAACAAGCTTCCATCTTCATTCAGAAATATGCTGAATCTAGTTATCAACAGCAAGCAAATGCATTTTTAATGTCAGTCCTAGTAACAGCCATGCTGGTTTACACAAAGAGTGCAGCGAGCCCGAAGTTCAGACAAGTATAAACATACAGCAGAGTCAAAACACAGAAGCATCAGGTTCTCTTATTGCTCTTCATGACTACAAATGCCTTAAGGTAAAGGGACTTTCCTAAGCCTGCAACAATTTTCCTATATGGCACCTTCCAGTACATCATTCTTCCAAATACTTGTTCAACATCCACATCAATGGAAGCAAACCTCTTTTAGCCACAATATCTATTTGCAACTTTTTGTGCACATCATAACTGCTGCATGAAGAGTTACAATTTGAACCTAACTACTCCCAGCTTAATTTAATGATCCCTCAGTCTCCTAATAAAGAATCAGTGAATAGTCAATTCCCATCCAAATCCACCCATTATTTTCTGTATCTCAATGTTAGTCCTCCTTCTCCCCTACTAGAAATCACTGTTATTCCAGCTGAAAAGCCCTACCATTTTTCACTGCACAACAGCCATTTCATATTTATGACAATAAATGACCTTATCATCCTTCTCTGAACCCTTATGCAGCTTAACTATCTTTTTGGAGATCAAGGAGTGAGCAAGCCTACCTCACTAACAAATATCTTTCTGATGATGTTACTGCCTGTAAAAAAAAAAAAAAAAAAAGAGAGAAATGCTCACAACTTCATGTAAACAAATGACTGTTATAGATTTAATGAGTTTTGGAATATACCTGGTCAAATGCCCAATCTACATTGTTGGTTGGGCTCTGAGCAGATGGAGAAGCTGCAAACATCTCATTAAAGGATCTGGAAGATTTGGATGGTTGAAGTTTGCTGTGAAAGGCAACAACAGACAACAACACTGTGAAAAAGCACAGAACTTATCACCAAACAGAAAATCTTCACACTGTGTATTAACCATACAGAGTTCTGGAAACAGTTCTTTTATCTTCTTCATATTCTGACTTGAACCTAGGAAAGGTGATTATTCAGTCAAGTAACAAGGAAAAAAAAATTGCCAGAGAGGGGTAGAGAGCATATGGCTCTTGTAAGCATCATTGTAAAAAGTACTCCATGCCTCAGGGCTCTCTTCTGACAAGTTTATAATACCTCTCTCCTTTTTTTTTTTTTTTTTTTTTTTGCTTCCCCTGGACAAATCACCCTGAGCTACAGATTTTTCAGTTTAAGGAGATGAATCCTTGAAAAATTCATAAACTGGACAGACTTCGCAGTATTCATGGAAGATCTCTATGACAAAATTAAACCCATATGAATACCACACAGATGGTAATCCTGAAGTGAAATAAAAATAAATGTTACCATGTTTTTTTTATCTTAACTTTTTTTGTAATAACACACAATAGAGATTGTAAAACAATAACTATTCATAAAAAAAGCAGCTCAAAATAAGGTATCTGATAATCAAAAATAAATAAATAAATAAACCCGAGAGGTTTTTAAGTAATTTTGTAATACCAATAGCAAATCAAAATTTGTCTTTTCCCTCCTGTCAGTGTATTTCTAATGTGATTATTTCTCAGTTTGACCTCATTTACAGAAATTCAACAGAACCTTTATTATATTAAACAAGTTTAAAAAAAAAAAAAAAAAAGCAGAAGTGCTTAATTAGTTAGCTAAATAGTTACTCAGGATGAAGACATTTCCCAATTAAACATAAGACATATTCATTTTGGAATAAAGAGAACAGTGCTAATACACTGCTTCTGAAACTAAACCAGACTGTCAGAACTCAAACACCTCTACAGGGCACAGCATAATGCTTTAGAGATGTTGTCTTAACATGCTAAGTTTGTGATCATTTGAAAACTAGCCAGGGCCTAACCTGGATCAGTTTGTTCCCTCAAACAACCAAGTTCATGAAGTTCTTGAGAAGATCACCAACTTGTACTCAGGAAGTAAATACAGAACAAAGACATGGAGTTTATGTTATATATATACACATACATACACACACACACATATATACATACATACACGTTATATATATTCGTGTATATATATATGTTATATTTAAGATTTTATGAATTAAGCTTTCCTCGAGTGTAACTCATTTAAGACATACCTAATCCAATACTATTCATGATACAATGTTGTCAAAGATCTAAGTTACCTTCCAGACAGTGTTTTCCTTATGCAAGTATGCAGCCGTAAAACATTTCTTGAATTCTGAAGGTACTGATAAATGATCACACACTTCCAAGAACTCAGAAAACAGCAGTTTATCTAACAAGATAAACCTCTATGTATTTTATCATGAGGATCAAAACAACAGACATGGCTGAATTTCTAAACTAGTTACTTCAGTTGCCTTTAAATAGTAGAAACCACAAAACAAATCTGCACTGAAAACAAGCACTGAAGCATACCTTGTGACTGCTTTTCTCACTGGGATATCATAAGCTCTAATGATGTTCACTAACAGCTTAATGTCTCCATCTGATAAATTCTGTGCTGTGACCTTCTTCCTTTCCTTTCTTCTTGGCTTTAACGGTCGTTTTGGCTCTGCCAGTTTAAAGAGGCCAAGTCCCAAAATACTAACAATCATAAAACAGACATTTAGTCATTTTTGCACAGAATCCAGAATTTTCTTGTTTCCATGACACACATGCAAACTACGCACTAGCAGAAAAAGGAAACGTACACTGTTAGTGTCATACAAAACTCTAAGAAATGTCAAAATCTTTAAATAATTCAGTACTATACAATCCAGTTCTCTTATATTTCATGAATTCCAACTTAAATATGAAAAAAGAGCTTTTAAATTCTTTTTTTTTTTTTAATTTCCAAAACTAGGTAAGATATAAATAAGACAATTCAGAACAGATCTAAACTACAGCTATTAACAAGGTGTCTAGTAGATGATAACAACCACTGCATTAAATATGTAAGAAATCTAATTACACAGCTACAGAAAGGAAGCAGAATGAATATGCCACAACATACCCTGGACCCTCAGAACTTATAACCCGAGGCAAAGCAGAAACCAAAGGGAAAAAAAACAAATAGGAAAGGAATAAAAAGCAGATACACGTTTTTACACGTCACTGATGTTAACTGCAAAAATACCTAGATGACAGAAGACATCCCAAAATCTACTTTAAAAACTGATGAGCCAACAGCACTATCCCCTTGCACATAATAAACAATCACATTAATTACTTCTAAGATAAAACCATGAATTACTGAAATCGCACTAAATAAACACTTTAAACAAATAATGGCGTATTTTAAATTCACTAACTGCATGGATTAACAAGCACTGTGAATACAGATACATATTGGATACTAAGAAAACACGTCAAGCATTTGACCTGAAATGACTTCAAAAGCTGACTACAGTCTCACTCAAGTTTTTCCATTCTGCAGTGTGAAAGCATGAAGGAAAAATCGCATGAGCCCTGTTTCAGAGAGCAAGTCTCTGCATCGCCAGCAGATGGGACTGTTTAGTTTTATACTGAAGTATAGCTAACATTTTCTGAATTAACAAGTGTGACATGCATAAGAGTGAACATGAGCAACTTCTATAAGAAAGAAAAGTATCTGCTATTCATGACTTATGCAGATTAAGTCAGCAACACTAATTAAGAATCATCATTGTGGTAATTACTCAAATTTCAAAACTAAGTAGGAGATTTGTAACAAAAATTCAGAGCCAGTGCATATGCGATAAAACAAATCTTAGAAAAGAGAAATCATTGCACGAAGCAGTAACGTTTCTTACATATTTCTATATTCTGTTAACTTTCAGAAAGTAAGCAAAAATCACTACTATAGTGACGGAACAACCACTCTAAACATACAGTAGCTCATCAGTTGGTCATATCAGTAAACTTTGCAAAGAAGTATCAGAGACAACTTTACATTAACTGACATAGAATTAATGAAGGCAGTTCCTTTACCCCAGAGTAGGAATCTCCTCTTCATTGACCAGGTCAGAGAGAAGGAAATGGTGCTTTGCTATTAGGAAACGGTTAATTACTGATTCTCGAACCTGTGAGTGGGAAAGAGTGGAGGAAGGAGAGATAAAATGAAACTTCAATCCCAAACCACTGCAAACACTTGCATTTTGTCTACTACACCCGAATCTCAAAAACACATTCTTTATTTTATTCCTTTTTATTGAAAGAGTCATGTCAAGGAAAGTTTTCTTTCTACCAGAAAAAATTTCTTCTTTCATAACATAATATGAGCTTATTTTACTAATACGTTGCTGTGGAAACACACCAGCTAGCCAGATGTAAACATATGAAAGCATACATCAGAAAAACAGAAAATCAATTTTTATCTGATTACAGTTCATCATCAGAAACAATCTCAACAATAAACATCACCGACAGACATCTCTTTCAGGCACCTACATGAAGTTACAGAAAAGACTGCAAAGAAATCTATAGTATTAATTATAGAGATTAAAGGCAACACTTTGGACTGTGGGAAATCAGGAAGGCCTGTGTTACTAACCCTATGGTTTCAAATAGATGTTCAAAATTCTTAGCTCCTTTCATTTCTGTCTTGCGGTAACAGAGTGAAGCAGAGATGAAAGCATTCCCTCCTCTGTTCTCTTAACAACTGCGTAGAAGCAGTGAAGGAGTACTGCCTTTGTCCTTTTATTTCCTTCTACTAAGGCTAGTCAAGTCTTTGCATACTGTTCTATTATAAGACTAGCTGCAGAAGAACAGTAACAAAAACTTCTAATACACATTTCCTTTCCTTACTTTAAAAGTTTTCATTTAAGTTGCAAAATCACTCATTGTGCTGAGGTGACAGTAAGACTGCATTTCAGACTGATATGAATTTCAGACCTGACACCAGCAATCTCATGTTCTAGCATATCTGACAACATATATAAGCATAAAATATCCAAGTGCTCATTTTAAAAAGACCACTTGCATTTATCTAAGTGACAAACAGAGGTATTACATGCTATTTAACTCCTGCTGTACTGCCATTCAGTGCACTGCATAACCATGTTTCAGTACACATGGAAATATCATGCAAAGCATGTAAGGCTGACACAGATGTGACAGCTCATTTAGAAGTGTTTTTTTTTTTTTTTTTTTTAAATAATTGCCATACTGAATCTGGGTTTTAGCATTAACCTGGATGTTTTAAATACTCTCCATTGTCTTTTACGATGAGATTCTTTTACAAACTATTATTGCTAATTAGCAATTTTTTTTGTCCAACACCAAATCAACCTTAACATTAGTTTTGCTGGCTGGCACTTTATCTACCTTTTTACACTGCCACCGTCTGCCTTCAGCATTCCTGAACATTGAGCATCCATATACAGCAGCAACACATAATTTAGAGAAATACCATGGATTTCTAATTTTTGCAGCTTACCTTTTGTAGATAGCTGGCAACAACGGCTCTGCGTGCATCTAGGTAATGCTTACTATCAATCACATCCCTCTCATGTAGTCTTTTCTCATATTCCTGAAATATTTACTACAGTTTGTAATTTGATAAATATCCAATGCTTTATTGAATACAAGAAAAAAAAAGGTAAATATTTCATTAATATTAAAGTGTGGATCAAAGTAAACAAAAACAGATGTCAGACATTTAAGGCTATTTTTAATGCAGTATACAGTAATAGCACTGCACAACTTCTATGCATTGAGAACAGAACTGCCTTAAGATTCATGTGCTTTAAATCACTTGGAATAACTTGAAGATTTCCCTCCCTTGTTCTAAACCTGACCTTCCACCTGTTTTTGTAAGCTGAAATTCCATATCAACCAGAAATGGTTCCTGCTACTGCAGCTGCAGTAGGATGAATTATTTACAAATAGAAGAGATATGGGATTTGTGGAAGATGACCTTTCATTTGAACTGTGAGAAATTTTGCTGTGAAACAATTACTGAGCTATTTTGAATCTGCACTCAAGAAATAAAGAGATTCAACAGCATAATAAAATCATTGGTTGCAGATAGTGAGAAAGTGAGGATTTTGCTTTGCCTGAGGTTTGATCAAAGAGCTGGTGGCCCAACTGATGGACTGAGATGAACACTGATCCAGGATTATGGTTATTGCTTGGTGGACCTCAAAGCTACAATGAAAACAATACTGACAAGCAACTTCTATTTGCAAGTGTAGGAGAACATCTCATGAATTAAGCTAGAAGCACTCAGTTTCCAGGGAAAATACAGAGTCTTGAAGTCTAAGAGTGTCCCAGGACTGGTTAGCTTCACATCTGACACAAATTGTTTTGGCTTTACAGCCACAGATCCCAGCTGTCATACAGAAGCTACTGAGTAAAATTTACCTTCAGGTCTGGATCTGTTTTCACCCTATCACTAGGTACCTGAAGGAAACAGTAATATCTCCCTCTTAGACTTGTCTGCTTAGGATTACACAAACTCAGGGGGTGACTAAGCCTCATGAGTAAGAGACTAAAGAGCAATCCAATATCTGCCCACAGCTAGGGAAGGGACAACTGCAAAGATGACAGGATGAAATTCTTATCTGTAGTGCCACATAACACAACAAGGGAATACAGCCAGTACATACAACACAGAAGGTTAGGATGGACATGGGGAAAAACAAACAAAAATAATCTAACAGACAAAAAAAAAATCACTAGAAGGCTACTGCAGCACCAGAACAGGTTATCCACAACGGCAGTGGAATCTCCCACTTTTCAAGACTTGGCTAGCTAAACACACAGCTGACCTCACCTAGTCCTGGCAACAGCCCCATCACTGTGGAAAACAGGACTAGATGTACCAAAACAGAAGTAATTGCAACATAAACTGGAGTAAAACATAAAAAGGTTTTAATACTCAGCATCACTGCTTGAGCCCTTCCAGTGAAGAATAGTAGAAAAATTAATAAGCTTAAAGCTGAACAACTTCTGTACTACCCTTCTGTATTTGAAATCACCTCTGAAAGAAACTACCTTAGAACATTTATGCCTACAGTAGTTGCTGTGTTGTATTCTTCTGCTTCCACACCATAGTTGCACAACCATTTCCTTTGAAGGAAGCTGTCTTAATTAGATTAAAATAACACCAGAAAAAACTGACAGAATACAGTTTCCATTTTTTAAATGTCAGCAGAGCTGTACGTTCTCTAAGGGCCTAACTGACTTGCAAGTCAAATATTAACATCAGAACTAGAAAAGAAAGAGGATGTTTTACTAGAGGATAACATACTTGAAACATTTTCAGATAACAATTTACCTGGAAAATTTTCTCACTGATTTCCCGTTCATGTAAAGGGACTTGCTTATAGTTTCGGAACTCTGCCACCTCCTCATTCCTGAGCTGCAAGAGTCGGAATCTCTTTGATCTATTAAATTCTTCATCAGAAACAAAATTAAATTCTTGCTGCAACTGTTCCAGTCGGAAGAAGTCAGGAATATTTGCCTCTCCACTACTAGGAACCTAAATCAGACAAAAGGTTATTACCCTTTTTGCACTAAGAAAACAAGTCTGTAAAATAACACTTGCAGAGTCTTACATGCATATTGCAAGAATGCTCTTGTTCTCAATTTGATCCATCTTAACTTCTTCTGCATAGAACAAAACATGTAGTGTTTTAAAGCAGGCTTTTGTTGAGCAAAGAATGAGAACACAGAATACATTTTGGAATACTGAAAAATGCTATCTCCTCTACACATAAAACACTGAAGGGTAACAAAACTCTAACATAGCAGAGTGATCCAGGAAACTGTACTGAAAAGGTGATTCTTTTACAAAATTCAGCTACATAAAAAGTTCTCCAATTTGATGCTTACCAAAGTCTCAGCTTCTGCAATAAACTAAAATTTGTGCAGCCTTGACTGATGAGCAAATTCCTATTTAACACATGCAAGTGCAGAGGAAATATTCCTGCACCTTTAAGAAAAAAATTAAAAATTGTATAGTATAATACCATTTAGGCATGTAATTAATCAGCTTGCATATTCTCTAATACCTATTTTTCACCACTAAAAATCTACTAAACTAATGGATTAATGAATCATATTTTTAATATGCTTCTTAACATTCACACAAGTACATCCATCAGAAACTTAAATTGGAGCTGGTGTTTCACAGCTCCATTATCCTATAGCTCTGAAAAAGCCACTTACCATAATCATCTGCATCAGAGCTGCATTGTTTGGGTCATTTGGATCAAGTTTTGTTTCTGCTGCCCACTTAGCCAATTTCTTCATGTCAGTTAAGCCCGATGTGCCAATGGATGCAATAGCATCAATATTTTTTAAAGCACTAAAAGACAATAGACAGACCTAGTATCAGATGATTCCACCAAAAACATTTAATAAGAAAAAAGCAATCTTGGAAAAACAAAAACAAAACTAATAAAAAAGCCCTATAACTTGAAAATAAGTTACATTACACAATTCTTAAACTACAAACCTCTGACTCTAGGAAATCTTTCTATCCACTCCCCTACCTGCTCATTTACACCCCTATGCCATTTTTCACTTCAGCTGAAATGAAGTAATTCCTTCTGTCAGCACAGCGTAGAACAGTTGACTGAAGTTAAATTAATTGTAAACAAAGCAAACAAAAATTAACAAAAACCAGAAAAAAAAGACGAACACAACCAACTCTTCAAACAGCTGTGATGTAGAAGCAGCATCTTCAAAACCCGCATAGGTTTTGTGATTCTGCTTACAAGACATGCAGACTCAAAAGTGCAGCTAAGCAGCTGAGGGAGTAGTGAACTGCAAAGCAAAGCGAGGCAGAAAAATGCAGGAACTGCTAAAAGGGAACTTTGATCAAGCTTTCTCACTGCAGAAAACTTTCATTCAGTTACAACCTCATTTGAAACACGGAATTTAACTACATTTCTACAAATACAAAATGTTTTTGCACACTCTCCATGACTTAAGGTACTTAGTAATTCAAACATTTATCATATCTACACTATTGCATGTTTCTGATTATTGGATTCCATGATTTCTGTGAGTCTACCTAACATACATGGGTTCATACAACCCATACTTAAGGGAACTTCCCAGATTTCTAGCCCTTGTCTACGCAGTGTCTAAAATCCCATCTTTGGTCTGTCTCTTGAACAGCGTTTCTAGACAGAACCTGAACCTAATTCATCCTCCTGCCAGGTCTGGAACTGCTGCCAGAACCCTGCTCTGCCTGCCACATTCAGATCCTGTAGGGCCATGTGTTGCCTAGCACTGAGTGCACTGTGCTGGCTTGACCTTGGCTTCTCACTTGTACTCACCTACTTGTATTCACAGTAGTCAAGTGTGGGAGGTAGTCAGGAGGACATCTGTACAATGACTTGCATATCTGCATGCTCATTAGCTGTATACCACAGAATGTGGATGGTGGCCTGGTTCTTGTTAGGGGTCCTTGCTCTCTACTTATCTAAGTATTCTATTCTTAAGAATGGTTTAATAACTTACAGATCATTCTCAAGTTTGGTTAGGACCAGCCAACATATCTAGGAGTTACTGCAGTAGCAGATAAAGCAGCAACATTAAGATTTTATCATTAGAGCATCTTGAACAAATACACTGAATCACAGTTGAGCTGAAAAGCCAACAGGCAAAGACTAACTTTAGGCATGTAAATCTTGCAGCAGACTTTCACAGCAGACAATGGAAAGTCACAGATGGTGTTCATCTCTAAAAGGTGATCCAAATAAGAGCGTTTTACACTGAACATCCTTCTAAATTTTCCCCATTTGCTACAGCGACAAACTACTGTAATTTTAGTCTGTCAAGTTTGAAGTCAGCCTTTGGAAATGCATCTTTATAGTTCTTATCTTATGCTATTCTAGTCTCATTGAAGTCAGCAACTTATTTATCTGCTGATCAGCCAATTACTCGAATGGCTGCAGCTTGAGTCAAAAATAGTATAAAAGTGATGCAAGTGCCATGGTCTAGCTTCTAAATAAAAAAGTCTGATAAAATCCAATCAGCTGAAAGAATTACTTTCTCAGTTTAATAAGTTTAATAAGTACAATTCTTAAGGCTTTACAGCGAAGTTACCTGAGGTCATTACAAAAGCATACTTTATGATTTTATCAGAATTATACCAAAAAAAGCAACAGTAAAATCGGCAAGTAAACTACCACGTCCAACATGAAGCCACAGCACAAATCCGAATGTTCTGAGTGGAGTAATATATTAACATACTAATTTCTGCAGCTCAACACACTTCTGATGGGACAATTCATTAAAAACATTGTCTTGGAATGATACAGATGTGGCTAACTTCTTAACTTCTTTCTTACTTAAAACTAATTTATTAACTTCTATTGTTTCCATACTATAATTTTATCATTAGTTGGAAAAACGGCATTTATAAGTGTCCCAGTACCCACTCCAAATGCACTTTGTAGAAGAAAAAGGTGGAGCTCCTATTCTTTGCAAAAAAATGATTACAGGAAAGTTCCTTACCAATATAAAGCAAAATCTGGACTACACTATGTCTCTGAGTACCATAAAAAGGAATTTAATCAGCTTGAGTCTTGTTTAACATTGTCTATGAATAACATACTAAAAGACTTTAGTTAGAAATGTCGTTTGTTTTATCAAAATGTGTAACATAAAACATCCACAGGTGCACAATAAAGTATTTAAACTGAAGGAAAAAAGCTATGACTATTCTTGACTATGAAAACCATCTATTTCATTAAACAGTAGTTGTAACACTTCTCCAGGAATCACTGAGAATCTGTATCACATTACCTTGGAATTCCTGTGTTTTGCTGAGATACTGGAGGAATTAGGGGGATTCCTTTCTCTCCAACTGCCCAAGAAACACTATTAGATATTTTCCCAGAAGTCATTAAAGTCATCTGATTGCTACCATCAGCTTCAAATGAAAAGGATACATCTATTGAGGGAAAGTAAAGTAGTATATTTATGTATGTTTATAGTATATCCATAGTATATTATCCACTCAAACAGTATCTAGGTAGTTTTAAAAAAGCTTCCCAAAAATAAGTTGTCGAATTACTCCTTCTATATAAATGCACAGGTTACACGAAACAATGTGACTGTTGCAGACGGTAGAGAAGAACTCCACTCTACAAAAGAGAAAGATTCCATTCTGCCTACAGAAAGGCTTTCCATTGCACCACAAAGAAACACTGTGCCTTGAAGGTAAGCCAAAGCTTTTTTTTTTTTCTTTTTTTTTTCTCTCCTTCACAGATGCATGCTATTTCACATTTCTGGTAATTTTCAGATTCAGCGTATGTATTCTTTTTATTAATGAGACAGAAATTCACAGTCAAAAGAATTATGCATATCTGAAAAGTCAGTCCTAAAGGTCTGTGGTACACAACTGTGCATACAGTCATCACAGTTAATGACCCTTACAAACGTGTTGTAAAAATTTTCCTTTCAGTGCTCTTCTTGACAACTTTTTAGTTGTTATTCTGCTCTATTTCTACCTGTATTTCATGGATTGTACCCTTACATGTCAGTTATCCCATAATGCAGTTCAAACATTATATAAACTAAAAGCTCTGTGTCTTACACTGTTCTTGTTCTCCTTTTTCCTACTTCTCCCTCATTTTAATCTTCCATTTTGAAATCCCAATGGTTAAATGTTTTACAGGATGTCATTATACTGCAGACTTCATCTGCATATACACTTATACAGTCAGTTTTTCAGTGCTTTGAAGTGTCAAAATTGCTGCAGCTTTGCTGATTAATACCATATGCTTGCTCTGCACTGTCAGAGGCCTGATTAAGTACTAAATAAACAATTAAAAAAACCACGCAACTTCTACAGTTAGTAGAGCTTCTCTAACTCTATAAGCCAAGTAATAAACATGCACATTGGTGTTAATTGAATTTACTCTGAAAATTATGCCAGCCTGTTACTTCTACGTGGTTTCAGCAAAATGAGCAGCACTGAAGTACTGAATTGAGGAAAAGCAATGTTCCCTACCACTCCCAACTCCTTCATGGTCCAGCATCACACGCTGGTTGCTGCTGAACTCTATCTCCTCCATGGGAGCACTGCCTGTCAGAACGGTCGTCTCAGGAACAGGTATGAAAACTTCAGCCAGCAAGGTGGTACTGCTCAGACCCGTTGTTTCATAGATCTAGAAAAATCCATGGTGACAGACATAAATAAATGAATAAATTCTTCACGATGTTTTGATAAGAAGTTGAAAGCTAAAGGAAGCAAAAACGTTAATTAAAACAATCATGACCAAATACAAGTTTGAGCTTCACAGCTTTGGACAAAAGGTTTTGTTATGACTTAAGCATTAAACAATTCATTTAAAGCAATTAAATTCATTTGCTTTTTAAAATATATAATTAGTAGACATTTCAACTATTAACTGCTAACTCAGACTGAATTCTTAGTACTACATCCCCCTCGCCTTTTTAACATACACGTATGGAAATCATAGAATGGCCTGGCTCGAAAAGGACCACAATGATCACCTAGTTTTAACTCCCCTGCTATGTGCAGAGTCACCAACCACCAGACCAGGCTGCCCAGAGCCAAATCCAGCCTGGCCTTGAATGCCTGCAGGGATGGGGCATCCACAACCTTCTTGGGCAGCCTGTTCCAGTGCGTCACCACTCTCTGTGTAAAAAACTTCCTCCTAATATCTAAAAACCTAAACCTAAAATCTAAAACCTAAATCTCCCCTGTCTCAGTTTAAGACCATTCCTCCTATCACTATCCACTCCCGTAAACAGCCTGTTCATATGCTCCTTTCAAGTACTGGAAGGCCACAATGAGGTTGCCCCAGAGCCTTCTCTTCTCCAAGCTAAACAAGCTCAGTTCCCTCAATCTTTCTTCATAGGAGAGGTGCTCCAGCCTTCTGATCATCTTAGTGGCCCTCCTCTGGACCCACTCCAAGAGGTCCTTCCTGTACTGGGGGCCCTGAGCCTGGACGCAGTGCTGCAGATGGGGCCTCACAATGACCTCCTCCTCTCTGCTGGCCACCCCTTTTTTAATGCAGCCCAGAACACAGTTGGCTTTCCGGGCTGCAAGCGAACACTGCTGGATGATGTATGGCAAACTATGGGCTTTAAAAGAGTATCACTGTACAACATGCATTTGCTTGGTATAAGGGATTCTGGCACCATGGATTCCGTCTCATGACAGTCCAAGTAAGGCACACAGTTCAGTTCTGGCAGTACAGCAGGCTCCCTTGCTCTTTCCTGGCCAGTTTCAGATAGAGAGGGCTTAAGAGCGATTTCTCAGTCCCTGTTTAAATGTTTTTAATCAAAGTAGATGGTATTTCTCATGCCTCTCGTGCTGTGTGTTACACAAATTGATAGGTGAGGACTATACACCCTCCTCTGGGCTGCCAGTAATAAAAGTTACCTGACAAAAAAAGAAAGCAATCAATCAACTGACTAATGTATCAATTCATACTTCTTACAAGAGGTACAATTTTTTTGGCTGTGCTTTTGTTGTCATTTGTTTGGATTGTTTTATTTTCTTTTCTTTGGACTTCACTGCACTTAATATGGTCAACAGAGTAATAATTGAAATTACTTGTACTGAGTTTTTTTTTTCTTTCCCAACAAATGTTATGGCGTTTTTATGATGTGGATAAGAGTGTACTAAGAAGAATATTTTGGAAAGTTTACCTGCAATACAAACCAGGTTTTCTGAAAGAGGCTGCTTTGCTAACATATTTAATCACGCCCCAATTACTAACTTCCCCCATGCAGCTCACAGTCACGTTATAGGCATGTATATACATAGTAACATATATGTATTACACATATTACTTTGACAACAAATCTCTGTTGGTTACAACAGCCAGATCAAAAGTTTAAAAGAAACATAATAACAAGAATACAATCTTAGTGTAAGTATCAGAAACATAGCAGCAAACTGAAAATTTTGCTACTAGGAAAGCAAAGGCTATAAAAGATGGATAATTTAGAAAGAATCCTTCTTTCCAACACTGCTGCAGAGCAAAACACAGGCATTACAGAAGGAATTGCACTTCACATTATCTTTTCAAAAAACACTGTTATAAATCATTACCCACCTGTAGCTTCAAACTCTCTGGCCAGTTGAATATTTGTAAATTGAAAATCTGTCCAAAGTGAACTCTGAAATCTGAACTTAGTGGTCGAGTAACAGTCCTTGACACTTCTTTGGAGTTGAAAAAGACTTTTATAAATGCTGAGCGTTTGTTTACGTCTTCTCGTCGTAAAACCTCTGCCCTGTAAAAGTGTCAAATGAGTGGTGAAAACAGTTTCAATAATATTTATAGTTTTTATTTTTAATGAGAACCTGATGCCTAATGGGAAATAAAAGTCAACTGCATGAAAACGGAATCTTCTAAAAATGTCACTGAGTTAAGATCTATAATTCAGCACTTACTTTATGTTCCCATGAATTATTTAAAGCTTATTTAAAAACAGGTGAAATATTAGATCCACAACCTCTACCTCCATATAATAGGTGATATTTAAGGAAAAAGTTTCCTTGTTTCCTTCCACCAGGATACAGGATATGCTATCACAGTGCATTAAGATTCTTAAGGTTTCAGTCACTAGGACAAGAACAGCCAAGCCCTAATCCTTGATGAGGCTAGTTACTAAGTTATGATGAAAAGAAGCAGTTTTTAAATGAATTTGATTTGCCAGATGCACTGCGTGTGTAAATGCAGAAAGTAATACAGAAGAGTATTTATTTTATCCACAGTGAAATCTTTAGGTAACTACATGACATCTTTCTCTTCTCTGTTGGCTGGTATAAAGGACTAGCTAGCAAGAGTGGTAGTGTCCTAAGTAACCTATGCTTTCATCTACGAGCACCACCACAAAACCACAACCAAATTCTTTGCATACACCACTGTCCTACAAAGGTGCTCAAGAAACATCAGAAGGTTCGAAGTGAATGTGTAGTTATGCATTCTTCAAGCCAGTATGTATAAGTTTACACGCGACTTGAAAAATAATTAAGTTATATCAGCTTCAGAAGTTTAAGGTTTTAATCATTAAGCTAAACAGAATGGCAAGCACATATTTTGGAAGTTGTAGAGGTAAGAATCAAATAAATAACAGTGGATTATCACTGTAAGAAGTATATTACACTATTTATCTTACCGAGGACACTGCTCACTTGGAGTTATGCTTCCTGACAAGACCAGTTCAGGAATTAAAGCAGGCTCTCCAGGTTTCCTTCTGAAGTTGTTGGCTTTTTCTCTAACCTGCTGCTCTATTTGCAGGCTATCAACCATTTTAGGTGGGACGGGTTTCACAGGTTCTTCACCAAGATCATAATCTTCTATTGATTCTTCTTCTTGAAGGTCTTTCTTCTTCTTTTTCTTTTCGGACTTCTGCATATAGATATAATAATGTTCTACTTGTACTATTTTGATCAGTATAGCTTTTTTTTTCCTCTCGCTCTCTTGATTCACAGCATATGCTGAACAGGGAATAATGGTGTAATTTTATAGATCACCGCACAGAAAGAAGACTTCTTTTATTCTGTAGTATGTTTCAGATTTGGAATTCAGCCATGCATTTCATTGATAGGCTTCAAGAATATGATGTGCTTCAAACAAAACATTTGCTTAACATTTAACATACAAAGCAACTGTTTCTTGTATGTTTTGGTTAGCAGCAGATATCCCTTTCAAAGTTACCATATGTGCTCTCTTGGGAGTGAAGAAAAGGTTACTCAAATAGCAGCTACAGTTCTTTGAGATGCGTTGTCTGCATAGATGGACAAAGTGAACGCACATGCAGTAATAACTTCTTAGCTTAGCAGCATCTCAGTGCAAAATGAGGCCCTCCCTCTACACCAGATACAGAAGTAAATGAGCAGAATGTAATGTACTTCTTAGTTTCTCCTAAACAACTCCAACATTCAGATGCATGTTCAAGCTTTAGACAACTGCAAGCAATTCTGCAAACTTACAGATTACTTGGATGTTCAGCCAATCCAAACCAACCACGCCATGCAATTCACTAGCATGTTCTACATAGACAGAATATATCCAAATACATTAGAAAGTTTAGTCATGCCTATTCTGACATTGACTTCTCTCTGCGTTACAAGGATAAGCTGTGAACATACTTAGTAGTAATCTAATTTTTGTGAAGCAGTGATGTCAACAATGATTTAAACAAACCTGTGCCTTCTTCCAGGACTTCCATTCTTGTAACTCAGTTTTATACTCCTCCATTTTCTTTTCATATTCTTCCATGTATTCTTCTTGTAATTCACTTATCTCAGCCTGAATTTCTGCTTCATATGCTTTCTCATCTGATCTCTGATCAACTTCTTCCCTTCAAAACAGTTGTACAAACATGATGTATAAATTAATGTAAACACTGCATTAAAGATTATCATATATAGCATAAGTCCACTTCTCCATGAATTAATTCCATTATATCAAAAGCACGGTACGTTAAAAAATACTAGCACAGTCTACAAGAGTTGATAGCAGATAGCTACCATCCAAAATGAATTTAATTACTTTTTCTTTACTTGTTAGATTTTAGAAGTGTCACTTTATTACAGTCATTACACTCTTCCCTACTCCAAGTCTGGCAAGCCCAACCAGCGACAGACACTACTCAAATCCTTACTTTTGCACCCTTCACATCCCAAAACAGCTTATCTCACTGAAACCTCACTGCTGGCAAATGAAATACAAAGAATGTTATCAAAACATACTTCCTCAAACAAAGCTTCATGGGTGTGTTAGTGAACTTCTGAAATTCACGGAGGGACTTCATTTCTTTCCAAACTTTTATAATACTTTTAAGCAACATTCTATCTTTTTCTTGTTCAGCATCACGAAGTCTTCTGGTTTGCCTAGAAATATATAAACATATGTACAAAATCAGACTTGTAAACTCAGTGGAACAATACAGTGAAAAGCTTAGATACCAAAAGCCAATTGATGTGGTTTTCAATGTGATTGATGGCTGCAGTAGTTTAAATCCAAGGCGCATAAAAACCAGATGAACTTAAAGATGACAGGATTTGGTTTCCTTCACTATCAATACTCTAGGCTCTAGTCTCATGAACTTTGGACAAGCTGACTTCAATTACAGTTCATTCTCTAGAGGCTTCTAAGTCTTCTGAAATACTTATTACAGCTGTATATCATTAAAATCATTTTAAAGTCAATGCCTGTAAACAATAGCCCAGGAAACCAATGCTGCTGCTATGAAGTAATGTGTATTAGAATCACACATTACAAAATATGTTTTATACTTACCATGCTTCCAGTTCCACTAAAAAGCACTTGTAAAGATGAAGTAACGTAGTAACATACGAAGTAGCCCTACAAGACTCTTTACACAAACAAAAATTAACAGGGCTCTTTTGCCTCAGACTTGGTATTTCACATTTCCACCCTTCAAAACGTTTGTAGAACAGATATTCATTAGCACCTTTAATAATGAACACACACCGACGTCAAGAACAACAGACTTTTTCCAGTACTACCCTGATAGCTAAACATGCCCAGTACTACTCATGTGGGATAAAGGAAAGAAAATAAGATGTCAACTAAAACATTACTTGTAATACTTGGAGAGCATGGAAGAAAGGGAGCCTGAGTTACAGCTCAGAGAAGTAACACATAATACATTATTTAAAAGCACAAGCAGAGGTAGCAAAAACAATACAGAAGTTGAAATACAGACTTTTTGGAAAGTAAGATGAGCAATTGCTCCATTTCATTAGCTAGCAGTTATTACTTATCCACGTAGCTTGAAATCCCTTTCTTTTCTATTCTACAAGATGAAGCCAGAAGACAAGAAGGTGCTTAAGGATAACAGGAACACAACAGTCAGTAATTATGCCAATGTAATTTATTTTATGTGGAAGCAGGACCGTTCAGTAGAGAATCCCCTCTTCTGAAATACATCAGCCAGAAGAGCAGGAAACCTTCAATCTGAAGCATACAATGATTTCCTCTTCAGCAAATGGAGACAGAAGAGCTGAAACTTGTTTGCAAAGCTTTTCCACACTTAGCTGACACTCCTTACTCAAATCAACAGAAAACTACAGCTCTGATGTTTAGACAGTGAAGAGAACACAGCAATTACGTTATTAGAGGGTGGAGGAAGTATTATAAAGATCCTTTTTGATGCTACCCTCTCTTCACATCTGCAGTTCTTCATGAGTACGCTACACTGACCTCTAGGAAAATGAAATCTTAAAACCGAGACAAGGCAGATCAGATGTTTTTACCTACATATGTGGTCCCAGTTAGGTGTAAAAGCAGGACAGTAAGAATCCTAAGCCTACCTGAGCCTCATGTGCAACAGCTTCCAAAAGAGCTGTTGCCAAGAAGAATTACAGATATGAAAGCCCAAGAGTAATCCCAGCCAAGCTCATCTCACATTACTTCCACAACACTGATCTCACTGATTTCAGTCAAGTTTCTCCTGATTCATAAGTGTGACACTAAGCTGAAGCAAGCACACAAGACCTAGAAAAGTCTTAAGATATCCAGAAGGAATTCTCTAATTGGGATTAACAACAAAGCAAGGCTCTGGGTTGGTGCCAGAATACAAGAGCCACCCTTTCATAGTCAACCCTCTTATTTCTAATCTGCTTTCCCTGGTGAGAGCTCTTGTCTCTAAGGTACTGCATGGTAATTGCACACCTTTTGCTCCTATGAGATGTGTTGAAATACTAATTAAAAAATTTCTTTTTGATGGGAGACTTTGTCCTTCAGTATGAATACTGGAGTATATTTATACTATATTATGTCCTGCACAGGTAACAATATATGGCAAGTCAGCATACATAAAGGATGAAAATATGAAGCAACTCCCAAACTAAGAGTAATGTGGATGTATAAGTATAAGCTGGTGAAGGTTCCAAGTCCCATAGCATAGAATTGTGATTCAAAAAAGAATGTGGATTTTAATTTAAATAGTATTACTTATGTGATACACCATAACATTTTAGACTTGTGTGTTTTTTTGTTTTTTTTTTTTTTAAATTGTTATTGCACAGTTTCAAACTTTTGATAAACTTTCAGATTCCAAAAGTAATGCCTCCTAATTTACTGTGTTGGCCCACGATGTCAGAGGTGGATGTGGGGTGGATGGCAGTAAAGTTGACTCTTCCCACCAATATTCCATTTTGTTGCTGTGCAACAGATGGCAGCAGAGGGGCAGTTTGACAAAAGGGCACATGCAGATGAAGCAAAGGCTCTTGGAACTCAATTCCTCCATGGACAAAGAAACCTGCTGACTGACACACAATGTTTACGGAGACCAAACAGTGGATGTGAACACAGTGTGGTGGTGGGTGGTGTTTCAGTAGTGGTGACAGCAACATGAAAGACAAGTCATATTCCAGACAGCCATGCACAGCTGTCACACCTCTTCACAAGATGAAGAGCACCTTGATCAGCTCATACAAATTGGCTATGTTGAAAAATAGCCTTTTGTAGCTGAGAATTTTCTCTCTCAGTGTGCTATTGCGTTCTTCATATGTTTTAGGTTCCAAAGAAATAAATAGGAAGCATTACTTCCAGAGCGACCTACGTACTAGTAAAAAGGCTGTTCAGCTTAGATTTCCAAAATAATTTAGTTTTTATCATGCTGCTCATACTTAGGGCTCACTAGCTGCCAAAATAAATACTAACTTTCACTACCAAGCCAAAAGCTGGAAGATACTTTTGCTATCCAGTTACTGTCCAAGAACAATAACTATAATATCGTAAAAGAAAACTCTACCATTTTATATTAACCCACTGGCAAAAAAAAATATGACCAACACACCTAAAAATGCACAGTGAATCAAGAGAACGGTTTTGATGCCAAGTGCCCTGTGTAATGAGAACAAGGGAGATGGAAAAAAAACAAGCTTTTTTGTCTGTTCAAACATCTGCTCATCACTTGCAGTATTGTGTCAGCTTCCATGTGTCAGCTGACCTTATTTTAACTGAACTTTAATTGTGCAAAGAACATCAGTAATTTCTAAGTAACCAATACGTAGTAAACAAGTTAGACTACTTTTGAATATAAGATTTCTACCCACACTATATTTTCTTCATATTTTTTTTTTAATCAACTTATTGGTAAAATTTCTTATGCCTTCAAAATTCTTCTAGAACCATTTCCAAGAATGTAAAAGTTCGGCATAAATTATATTCTGATCCAGCACAGAACAGAAAAGGAATACAGTTTTTAGAAGCATTGAGTTAGCAAATCCATACCTACCTGATTTCAATTTTGTATTCAGGTATGCTCTGTTGTGCTGTAGGACCAGAAGCACCAGCACTGTCTATGCTACGCTGCACAGCATTCCTCAAAGCACGCAGCTTAAATGAACAAACAAAAGAATTAACAGATAACGTGACATTTATGAGGCGTACAGTACAATATATCTCTGAATTATCTTGCTTCTTTAATTAGAAGATTATGGTTTTGCCATGTCTGATGTGAGGTCAGTGAGGTGCTGATTTTTTAAGGTAAAATTCTAATTTGGATCCCTAGACACAAGGGACATCTTCTGCCTCAGACCACTGTGTCAGACCTAGACAAGGTGGCAAGACAGATTATGAGAGCTCAGCAAAGAGAAGAAAAACAATAAAAGGTGAGCCTGGAAAAAACCAACAAACAAACCACAACAAAACAGAAGCTTCTACAAGAGCTCTTTGGGATGAAAATGTACCAGGATGTAAGCCCAGGAAGTGAAGAAACAAGAAAAATGAGGGGACATGATGAGTGAGTTACAGAAGCTGGGCAACAGCACAAGAGTTTAAGTGTAACATACTGCATTTTACAACTGGAAGACCAGAAGGTGTGAAGACAAGACAGGCCTGGGAACAACAGCATGGGTTCAAATATACTTCTGAAACCATATTTTGATTGCAAGGGGCCACACCTTCAATTATGACTAGAAGATATGCATCACAGAATTACAGGGGTTGGAAGGGACCTCTGCAGATCATCAAGTCCAACCCCTCTGCTAAAGCACATTTCCTACAGTAGATTACACAGGGAGAGGTCCAGGCACATCTTGAATATCTCCAGAGAAGGAGACTACACTCTCTGTAGACAGCCTGTTCCAATGTTCTGTCATCTTCACAGTAAACAATTTATTCCTACTTTCTGTGTTCCAGTTACTGCTTGTTATCCCTGTCACTGCTGACCACTAAAAAGAGCCTGGCCCCATCCATTTGTCTTCCATACTTTTGATATTTATAAATAGCGATGAGATCTCCTCATGGAATGAGTAAATACAAGATGCATTCTCCTAAAAAAGCTGTCCAAAAACTATCCACGGCTGTGAAGACAAAAGAAAACAGAAGACTGACCATAGGAGATAAATATAAGAAAAAGTGGTGTGATAGAAAATGAAATGATAGTTATCACATTGCTGTAGTTTCTCTTAATAATAATACTGAATGTAAAACCAGAATGGCTAGCAGATCTGCTGGAAAAGAAAGCAAATACAACCAAAGTAGGAACAATGAAATAACAATCAAGGAACAGTTTGTTTAAACAAACTGAACAAACTTGAGAGATCGTACAAATAAAGTAAGCATATCACTGAAAACATACACTGGCTACTACAAATGAATCCCATTGGCATTTGAAGAAAAAGAGGATTTCAAAACAGATTTTGAAACAAAGAATAACTGATTCCAAAATAAGGACCAAAAGGTCCAAATATGTAACCTAAACCTCCTCTGTCTCAGTTTAAAACCATTCCCCCTTGTCCTTCTACTATTCACCCACTTAAACAGTCATTCCCCCTCCTGTTTATACACTCCCTTTAAGTACTAGAAGGCCCAAAAATACCTTGTCTGTGAGAAGTTCAGTAAGATTCTTCTGTTTTCTGGCTAAATACTGATCATACAACTGAGCCAGTTTAGCTGCTAACACATGCTCACGACTAAAACAGGGATGATGTGTGAATATTAGTCCAGAAATATCAATATCCAGTTGAAACGGCCCCTGAAAATCTCCAGGTCCAACGAGATACTGATTGGCAGCTGTTGTTTTTATTGCCTGAAAGTAAATAAATAAAGTAGTAAATGGATTTACAAGTCCTGAGACTTAAGCTGTAAAATAGTTCAGGCTCTCAGTAATAACATAAATTAAAAACACCTACCTTTCTATAGATTGTTTCAAGTTCTGGTGGAATGCCTTCTTCCATTGAAAATACTGGAGGCCTAGTAGAAGACTGTCTGATTGGATTAGGCAATGCTAAGATTCTGCCATCATCACCAAACCATTCTTTCCCCTACAAATGAAGATAAAATATATTGTTTCTTCCATATCTAAGTGACTTGTAAAAAAATAACTATGAAAGAAAAGGTGACTATGAACCGTTTCTGACTAAAGATAAGCTATGAAGTCACAGGACCAAGAGCTTGCTCAAATATATTTACTTAATTTTTTTCTTTCAATGTTGAACGTTAACAGACTCAGAAAAGGAAAAAAAAAAATCAACACAATATTTAAACACTGTATTTTGTTAAATGGCTAGAATTCAAAGAATTGTAGTTTTACACAAGACTGCCACCCACATCTTTAAATTGGACTATAAAAATTATAAAGCAAAGGATTATAAAACTACACAACAGCTCAGAGGGATCATCTATCCAAGCATCTCTCAACTTCTCCAGTCCAGAACCTGAAACCTGAACTAATTAAGGAGCAGCATCTATAAAAGCAGATGAGGTGATGATTGCTATCCATGCTTCACAGATGAACCACTGACCTAATTCATCCCTTTGCTCTCATGAACAGAATCCAAGTAAAGTTTAAACTAGTGCAGTTGCTGAAAGATGCTAGGCTGCCCTCTTATGCACACCTGTTTTAAACTGACTCTAGCTAGAGCCAAATACACTGATGTAGTCACAAAGTAAAGCAGTCCAGAAAATTAAGTGGTTGAAACCAAACAGTCATACATTTTAGACCTGAACTGTTTCATGAAAGAACCTTTCCTAGGAGAAAGTCAAAGAACTTCACAAAAGCTTGGTGCCACAGTCACTTCTGACAGAATTAAAGAAGTGACTTAGTGAGCTTCCGGGTGCCTTCCAAATTCAGTTATTCTATGAACCATAAGAAAATACAGAGTGCAACTGCTATGTTCTAGTTTAAATGTATACTAACCTACACACCACTTAGTACAGCATAAAACCTACCCAAAGCACCTTCTCAGGCTATCCTATCAGCTACTCTTAAACATAACCAGATAATTTACATAACATTTAATTAAACTTACAGTCTGATCAATAAATTTCTACAGGTACATCATTCATGTTACCTTTAGTGAACATGGATGATATTCCACACTGCTTTTGACAGGGCTAGAGTGCCCTGTCCTGACTTTAAGTCTTTATACACACCACTAGCTCTCTTATTAAAAAATTAAGTTGTATTTACTCCTATTTTAGAGGAAAATAAACTGTGGCACGTACAAGCAAAGTGATTTGTCCCTCAACAAGCTCTGAGTAAAGCCATGAAGACACCAGTTTTCTAAGACCCAGTCTGATGCTCTATGTATTGAGAAACACTAAAATACATTCCAACAAAAATCCACATTGCTTGAAGACCAACATAGCTATACATTTTGAAGATGAAAGCCCCAAACTACCACGATGTTCTACTTACTGATGGCCTACAATAGCAAAATCAAATATTGATAAATAAGAAGTCTGAAGAAGACAGCTAAGAATACAATGATGACTTACTTGCTCCTGTCTTAGAATTCTGTTTTCCAAAATATTTTGATTAGATGGTGATACATAGGGCCTTTCCTCTGCATAAAGACCCTCATCCTCAAGGTATCTAGGCTGCATGTTTTCAGGCATCTTCTGAGAAGTAGGCACTAATAAGAAATTATACATAAAAGCATGTAAAATATCTTAAACTTGCCATTCCAGTCTGCTTATTCTGTAACAGCCTATGCTGTGCATTCTTTAAACAAATGGTACTCCATATTAAGCATACTGCCAGGAGTATATTCTTAAGTAAAACTAACAAAAAGTATACAACTGAAATAGGTCATTTTTCTTATCAGGACAGATCCACAGGTTAATTCTATCATGAAAGTATCACAGATCCTCCAAATAGATAATTAAACATTTGCTTTAAATATTCTTTTAATAATTCAGTGGAGTTTTGTTTTAATAGTTTCTTCTCTAATCCTGTAAAACCTTTCTAGCAGTAACAGTTGACTACACAAACATTCTGAAGCCACTCTCAGACAAAGTAAAGCTTTAACTACTATTGCTAGTTTGGTTCAGGCTACTCGTACAAAACACAGAACATGCATAAAAATTCATGTTAACCAGTAACAGCAGGCAGGATTCTTTAAACATGATTTGCAGCATGACTTCACTGGTGTGTATGGGCTCAGTACTTTTTTAAAGAGCGCACTCTGCCTACATCCAAGAAGTGAGTAATTATACCAACAAATACAGTAAGTACAGCAATCCCCTACATCAGAACACAGCAGAACACACTGGAAGCAGTTAGAACTCTGACTAAGACACGAAAAAGGAGAGGAACCAAATGTCAGAATTTTGGTATTTCATTCCAAGCTGTAATGGTAGATAACTAAAATGATACCAGGACAAAACTCATTTCTGTTTCTTTCACTTCAAATATTAAATAGCAAGTGATACCCTTACAATCACAGAAATCCTGATGTTACATACATAGAATCACAGAATCATTAAACGACTCTTGGCAAGCTTGTCATATGGAAAAAATTACAGACGTATTCAAGTAAATACCATATATTATGGAGCACATGAATCACTTTTAGTACCGTACACTGTAACCTGCTGTATACGCTAAATAGCATAATAGCTAAAGCCCAGTGAAAAAGGGGCCAGCCACCTTCCATTTATCACAGAAGGCACTATGTTATACTCCAGAGCAACCAACGTGCCAGCATGGCAGATGGTGATCTGTGAAGGTTTGCATATCACTGTTAGCCCACTTGGTCAGATCTTTTCAGACACAGACCTACCTGGATGATCAGTGTTAAACACAGTCTTTAAATCTCTCCCTGCTGCCAGTCAGAAACACAATTTTTCAGTAGATCAAAGAGTGCAATTCTATGCAAAGTCCAGAAAGAAAATTGAATGCACCATCTTCATACCTGTTTGCATGCTGGGAATGAACAGAAATTCTTTTTCTTTTTGCAGTTGTTCAGAGTATCTTTCACACTCAGCAGGCTTCATTACTAGAAAATCTTCATCTGTCTGTCCCATAATGAACAGATCAGTATCTTTAACTAGGCGTGCATCTTCATCCTATAGTTCAGGTGCAAACAGTACCATTAGTTCACCTATTTCTTAAAGTAGAGAATTTTACAAAGTATACTTCCAGCATTTCTAAGGAAACAAAAGCTGCCATTTTGTATCAGATAATTAAAATTAATTCAAGTCTGATTAAAATTTTGAACATTTATTCCATAGCTCACACCGTTTCATCCTCCTCTTGTTCTTCCTCATGGGTTTCTACATATTCTTCTGCCTCTTCTTCATTTAATTCACTCCTTTTCTGTGCTCCCACCTTCATACCCTCTGGTTCAGGATCAAAATTTAAGGTAAAGAAATTATATGCTTCTTCAGCAGAAGGATAATCATTCTGGGCCTGTGAAAAGAAAAAAAAAAAAGTCACATAAAAATGTTTTTAAAGAAACTTAAGGCAAGCAAAACTATCTTTCCACTAATATTAACAGTAATGGCAAGTATAAACACTTGCTACTGGATAGCTATTTGTTCTGAAAGAGACCCCACACAAATGTTCTATATGATTGAAACATTTTTAAATGATACACTATCAATGAGAAAAGCAATGTTTTAAATTCTGGCTATAATACAGATATCATTATATAATGATGGATAATAAAAATGCAGATGAATCACCTAAGAATAAATTTATAATTGTATTTTGCCTGTGCAAGACTGAGGCACCTTTGAGTGTCAGGATGAAAGCTCCATTAGAAGAATTAACATGAACATTTTTTGACTATAAACATTTGTGTTCCTTTAACTAAGAGTTGATGCATTCAATTGAGAGGATTTTAAAAGAAGGAACATTTTCCTCCAAGCTCCACAAATTGTGTACAAATGGATATACTTCATTTTATAAAATTAAATAACCCCATGTCATTCTTATGTTTGGTTTCTATCTCATACTCCAATTCTAAGCACATACTGTTGGAGAATTTTTAAATTACACAAACTCCTTTTCACTGTTAAAGACCAAGTTCTGCTTGCTTACTCAAACAGAATCACAAAGCCATATAATGCTTAAATAAAATTAATGTCAGTTATTGAAATGAAAGACTTGGTACTTACCTGTGACTTCTGCTTGAGTTTTTTCACAGAATCAGAAAACTTCATTTTTGATGATAAGAGAGATTCATCCCATTGCATCTCTCCAAGTTTATCACCAGACTGAACCAAAAAAATATATAAGTTTTAACACAACTGTTCATCAAAAAAGCAAGCAAAAAACCACATTAAAAGCAGTAATTGGAGAGGTTCCTTTCAACAAAAGCAAACAATATAATTTTAGTCACAATAAAGTGAATGAAACTGATCTTCTGTAGTTGAGCCCTAGAGCACTTACCCCTTCATCCAGTCTGAGTTCTGCTTTCCTTTCTCTGATGCTTTTTAAATGCCTTGGCCGTGGACCCAGGTCTTCTTGAGATAAAGCAGCTTCTGCTTTTGTCTAAGCAAAAAGAAAAAAAAAAAAAAAAAGCTCAGTGGTAATATAAAATGTAATGGTACCAAAGCTACAGTAATTCCCAGGAACTCAACATCTCATGCATGCTTGCATTAAGGACTGAATCTTTTAACCATAATAATCAGCTTAAGTGCTTTTTAGACCTAGATGTTAATACTCTTTATTAAACTGCAGAGTAAACTTGCAAGCAAATCCACTCATTTCAAAAGAGCGTAACAACATTTTTGATGAAAATATACAAGAATCTTGTAACAATTTCATAATTTTAATTACTACAAAGAATAACTTTTGTATTAGAAACAACTGAAATATAAACCTCAGGAAAAAAAACAAAAACAAAACAAAGCATGAGAAAGTCACTGGAAAAATAACTGTACCAAAGAATCAATCAAATATTAATTCAGCCTTAGAAATAAAAAAGCAGATAATCCAATCAGTCACACAGAACACTAGGAAAGCAAACTGAAGCTGTTGGTACTTCGAAGAAGATAGCCAACCAAAGAGGACTTCTGAAGGACACGCACCCTGGCTGCTTTTAGCTTCTCTCTCATACGCTCCCTGATGGAAAGTTCTGAAAATCCCATTCTTGATGTAGAAGGCACAGGGGGCAAGCCTGAAAGACAAAACATACAGTGACATGATTAAATGGACTGTTTTGTAAAAGACATCTTAAATTACGTAAAATAAGCCTATTTATAGCCCACAGACTCCCATGTTCCAACAAAAAGCGTGAGGAAATAGAATTTTGTTTGTTTTTGCAATTCAGATCTTACAGACCATTAATTTAAATGCTTTCGTGGCAACAAATCTAGCTTTTACAATATGCTCTTACAGAATTCCTATTTGTTGTAGCCTTTAAATTAGTGTTCCCAGAAAGTCCAGACTTTTCTTTCCAAAATTTAAAGTGAATGAGAACTCATCTCCAATCAAACTTGTCAAGACCTCATTTTAATTTCAGGATTGATGGGATTCCTTCCCCTTACCTTCTACATCAAATAAATAATGATCTCTTCTGGCAGACTCAAGCCACTTCTGTAGAGTGATCTCATACCCTACTGTATACCTCAATTTCTAAATAGAAATGATAAATAATTATCCTGTTGTTTAGAAAAAACTACGGTCTTGGGGACAGAAACACGAAGGAGTGGATGCCTACAACCCACCCTCTCATATGAAGTCAAATGATTCAGTGTATACTATAAATGAGATTGCATGTGTAACCAAATGAGTGAAGTTCCACCAACTTTCCGTACTGAGCAGAATTACGTTTGTGCTCTACACGTTACTTGGAGGCAGCACCCATTTCCCTTTGATTGGGCTGCACCACCACATTAAGAGGGTCACGTTTATCCTCTTCACAAAACCCTCTAGAATATCTTAGCTGAACATCGCTTAGAAACCTAACAGCTTGAAAAGTGATCAGTTTAAGGCTTCTCTTATTAAAAGAATTCATTAATCTCTTCATTAATGAAACAGATTCTAGTTGCATCATTTTCTCCTCATCTGCCAATTTGAACCAGCCTATTTGTAAATATTTAGAAGACAGTAAGAAACAACAGCAGGCCTATATGAGCCAAGATGAAGTTGTCAAGCCAGCTGTTCTTCAAGAGTTCTTCAAGAGGCATTTTATCCAGCCCTGAGATGGTTTAGGAAAAGAACAGGTTCTGAGTATGTACTACAGAAAATGTCTGCCATTAGGAAATATTTTGACAGAAAGAGGTGCATATAGATTGAGACCTGGAAGTCACTAGAAAACTACATTTAAAAAGATGAGCAAGTAACAGTTATTAAATTCCAAGTCCATACTGTTTAGGAATTCTCAGAATCTGCTGAAATGAAGATTCTGTGTACAAGATGAGCAGGCAAAAAGTATCAGAAGTCCCATTTACTGACAGACTTCACTCCTAGCTACTGGAACTAAGGAAAAAAAAAAAAATCCTTTTTCACAGAACTCTGTTCTATTTTCTGTTTGTTTTACTCCCTGGAGGTATTCAAGGCCAGGCTGGATGTGGCTCTGGGCAGCCTGATCTGGTGGTTGGACGTTGCAGGGGGATTGAAACTAAATGATCACTGTGTCCTTTTCAACCCAGGCCATTCTATGATTCTGTGAAATTGAAGCCTACAGAAAGTTCCTGCACGCAGAAAGGCTGTGTGTCTCCCAGAGAGGGAAATGATGGACTTAATTACAATATAACAAGCCTCTAAAATCAGCTGTGGAATATTCATCATTGCAAGTCTCCATGGTATTTTTTGTGTTTAAAGCGATCCTAATCCAGTGTGCAAAAACATACTATACTTCATTGGAGCAACTGTTTCATTTCAATTTCATCCCAATTAACGAAAAATGCAAAGCAACAGATAAGAATCTGCTTTCAATTTTCTGAAATACGTGACAATTCCCCACAAATGCTTCCAGACAAGTCAGGGTAAAGTGAACAACGTAAACATTCAAAAATAGTGCAGAAATACTCAGCCATCAATTACAGCATCTGCAGAACTGATGTTCCGCATGTAGAAGATTTTCTTCATAAATGAATCAATATCTTGTGATAACAGGGGAATGATGGTTTTTGTATGAAACGAAAAACATTTTAAGCCTTTAATAGTTGTGGCAAAATTAAATCAATGCATCAATTACTGTGAGATTCTGTAGTTCCTTGGAAGAAAGATCACACAAATGTTTACTTTATTTCTCCGTGCATGGAATTTTATCCTGCTTATGTGAACGGGCTCTACAGCCAACTAATTTCTTCTTAGCTTTAAGATATATTTATGAAGCGGGAGAAGACAGACATCTACAAAAGCACTATGTTGCAAGATCATCTTTTCAGGACTGCATCAAAGCAGTTCACACCATGTTTTACATTGGAAGCACCATTATCCTACAATATCTCTGTATTTCACTCCATACAGATATGAGCTAGCTACACAGACAAAATTTGGAATTGTGATTTGTTATTCTGACTACTGGACTGATATATTGCCACATTTTTCAATTTAAGAAAGGTAGACAGGCATCTAAAATGGCACAACATGATACTAAATGAAAACAGTAAAGTTCTACCATTGATTGCGTTAGTCTTTTCTCTTTATTTTTCTAACTGAACTGCTGAAGACCAACAGGAACAAACAACATCTGCCGTGACTATGAGAAGAAGAAATAGCTACATTATATTTTTTAAGGAAAGTTTGCCATAACGGGAGCAGAAAGAGAATGTGAACATATAACGCGAGCATGGAAGGAAGCAAATCCTTGAGGGACATCATGAAGTGAAAGTTCTGCAGCTGTTTACCATCACCCACTTGCATTAAAATACAGTCCCCTTTTCATAAAAAGGTTTGTGTGTGTGCATTTTAACACCACAGAGGCACTACAAACAAGGAAGCAATACAAGAAGTAGAGAGCTATTCCTTTTTTCAGATGAGCGTCTTTGGAAAACAAACAAAACAGACAGATGAACTGTACTGCTATTAAGCAAACCACTTTAATTCAGATCACCACATGCTCTCACTCCATCACAACAAAGCTAACAGAATTCCAGAGAAGAGGGATTTCAGAAGAAATTGACTTTTTATTGAGTAGAATCTCAGAGGAAACAAAACGCTTTTCAGAAAGGAACTAGCGGCCAATTCTCCTTTCAGTGCACTGCTGTGCTTTTTATTCTCGGAAAAAGGAGTTTCTGCAAAATAAAACCACCGTCACTAGAGGGTGTCTCTCGGTTTCCTCACAGGATCCAACAGTCTGACAGCTGTTGGCCTCCAGGTGCCTGCAGCACGTCCCTTCCTGGAACAGGCAGGCACAAAGATCTTCAAAGAGAAGCAAACACTCCCACACCGCAGGTGCCCACAACAAATACCACACTCTGGTAAAATAAGCCTGAGGACAATACGTTTCACCTCGGCACTGATGATGAACACCCGAAACGGGTTTGGGTTTTGTTGACTTTTTCATTGCGCCTATTTACGTAAGCCCATAAAGCTCAGCACTTGGATTCACAAGGTTAAGGCTCCCCGAAGCGCTCAGCAGGAATATCGCAGAGATCCCGCTGCAGAAGTTCACCATTACCGGGGTGCCAGCAGGCCCCATTCCGCCCCATTCCGCAGCGGGCCGTTCGCCCCCCACGGCCGCTCCCGCGCGCTCCCGCACGCCCCTCATCCCGCTGAGAACGGAGGCGAGCGGCCGCCAGCGACCGCAGATCACCGAACGCTTCAGCCACAAAGCACGAGCCTTGCATTCAAACACGCAAATCCTTTCTGCCCAAGGCAAAACTCTTTTAAAAGAGCGCGTTTGAAAACCGTAGAATCGTTAAAGTCGCGAAAGCCCGCGCACGCGTCCCCCCACGTCGCCACGCCAGCAGCGCCGCCCGCCCCGCCCCGCGCGGCGGAGTCACTCACTGCGCAGCGCCGGAGGGGCAGCGGCCGCCGGCTCTGTTGCCATGTCGGCGGCGTTCCCTCGCTCCGCCCGCGGCTCGAGGGGGCCGGCAGGTCCCGGCAGCTGGAGCGGGACAGAAACGAAAGGGAGAACGCGTGAGTGAGGGGCAGGAAAGGAAACGGGACGGGGCGCGGCCTCAGCAGGCCGGCCGCCGGCGGCACGACCCCCGACCCCAAAGGGGAGGGGGAAAAAAGCGCGAGCGCGCATGCGCGGGTCGCCCTCAACGCCGTGTGCGCGTGCGCGGGGCGCTGCGCTCGCCCTCCCGAGCGCCGAGCCTTAGGGCGCTGTGTGCCCCGTCCTGCCACAGTGTGCCATCGCTGGTCTGTGAGAACCCGGCTAAGGAGCTTCCCCGTGCTTGCCCCGCTGTGGCCTTTAGTAGGCCACAACCCTGGAACTCAGCGCAGTTAGAAAACACAGCCGTACATTTGTCTCTCACATCCCTAAGGCATCGTTGTTTACAGCTTATCTCCTCGCACCGGCTGCCTGTGTCCATGGAGGGTTTTGTCCCTCCTGCCGTACTGATGAGTTCTCAGTTCGAGCACAGTTATTTCTAAAGTAGTTCTACAGATCAGAAAGCAGGACAACTGTTCTCCTAACCTACTTGAGACAAAATATGTTTAACTAGCGATCGGAAGATAAAGTAACCGACTAACTTACATACTTCTAACTAGTTCTGTTTTACACTGATGCAATTCACAGCATTATGGTGGCTGATAGTGATGTGCTCGTGCAGGAATAAAGAGTAACTGCAAACCTGCATTACTACAGTAGTAGTGATTGTATGGATCTGGGGATTACAAGAGCCTAATGGACACTGCTGAGTTATTAATTATTTTCTTGCATATACAAACATATTTCACAGGAGCCTGTCGCTCAGTGAAATACCATACAATCATTTGGGCTGCAAGGGACCTTGAAAGGCTGTCTAGTCCAAGTACCCTGCACTGAACAGGGACACCTACAGCTGATCAGGTGCTCAGAACCCCATCCATCCTGACCTTGAGTGTCTCCAGGAACAGGGCGGCCACCACATCTCTGGTGACCTGGTATGGTGCCTCACTACCCACACTGTAAGAAAATGTTTCCTTACATCCACTCTACATCTCCATCCTTTAGTTTGAAACCATTTCCCTTTGCAGTAGCACAGCATGCCTTCACTGAGTGCTACTACTGCTTCACCTCAGCTGTTTTGTTGTTTTTTTTTCCCCACAGAAAGCTTGCACCAACTGTGCTGATCTACCACCCAACAGCATAATTTAGTCTGTATTTTAAAAATCCTGTGAAATAACTCACAGGAGTAAAACACAGGAAGCTTTTCCACACCCTGCTGCACCTCCTTTAGCAAGAGCACCTACACAAATTATTCTATTTCACCATCCATTCTTTGTACTGGATATGTAAGCTCATGCATGCTTTCCTCAAAACTGCATCCAAACCAGGCAGTACTCTTTAACTGTTGGAAAATGCTGAGTATGAAGGCAGAACAGGCAGAGGAGAAATGACTTTGTTATCTTCCACCTAAGCGTATTCCCTGCTCTCCCCAAAGGATTTTCAGATTGCTAAACAGCACCTTCAGGTTGCACAGGGAACTGAACTTGCCCTAAGATAGTGGTTTTGTTAGGCAAACAGGACGCTCCCTAAGCACCTTTGCATTCACCTTAGCACCATTTACACCAGCACCTTGCACAAGTGCTAAGCACGATGTGCCTGCAAACTGCAGTGTTTCCTGGCTGCACGTGAGTTTAATTAGATAACAGCTTTGTGGCACAAAAATTATAACACTGCAAGAAACTGCAGTGTTTTCGTTGCTCAGCTCATAAACTTCTTTTTCATATCAAACTTTTATGTATCACATTTAAACAATCTCCTGAAGGCACATGAAAATGGAGAATGCTGGCAACAAACCAGAAGGGCCTTATGGCCACTTTCTTTAACAATTCTTTATCATTTCTTGAAATTAAGTACAAGAGCAGCACTAAAAAAAAGAAGTAGTGAACAACTGAAAGCAAGTACACTAAAGCTCTCCATTAGCTCAGAGGCTGTTTCCAAAGCAGTAAAACCCCAAAACAAACAGAAGTTCCTTTAACTCCTCTTCTCAAAATGAGTTACATCAGAAGTACATGGAACACCGCTCTGAGGGTTTTGGATTTCTAAATCTCTCACCCATGAAAACATCCAGATCACTGTGATATGATATCTGAAGGAAAATAGTTGTTTCCTACCTGGGTTTTCTGATGCAGCAGCTGTGGGACTGCCAGCAGCCAAGCACAGCAGCCTCCCCTAGCAACAGGCTGCTCTGGTTTTTAAAGAGAAAGGCTCAGATTTTGCTCCTTCTACCACTAAAGCCATTCGGGAAGACTTCTTCTTTTGTTTTGTAGACAATTTTTTTTAAGTAAGAGGGAAAGAGAAAGCTATAAGTAAAATACAGGGAAGATGAAGAAGTGATTGCAGCTCCTGCTGACAGTACCTTATCCTAATCAGTGGCAGAAAGCTGTCAGTGCTATCAGATAGTTTGTAGAAATGTGGATTGTCTTACATACAGTTCCTAATTTTTATAGGTACAAAGCAATTTATAGTATTCCTAAAAAATCTGGACAGATCTTTTCTGCTGAGCCAGGTTGTTAAGAAGTAATTTCTTACAATAACATTTGCAGCAGTATCTTTATAACAACCAGAATAAACAACTCTGTGGGTACTAAATGGAGTTGTTACTAGACCTGTTTGTAACTGTCCCTGTACAATCAGCCCCTATAACTTTTGAAGGTCTGTTCTGCAAAGCTTTAATAGCTGGAATCACATGAAAAGAGATGGCTGAATTGTTTCCTATTTCTGAATGCTGTTATAAAAAGTCATGGGAAGAAGTAAACAGTCACAGAAGATAAAAGATCTGTAGTATGGACATTCAGTTAAATTAAGTGGAACTATCACAGCTAGGAAGAGCTGGCATGAGAATATTTTTCAAGAATGGAAGTGTCAGGTTTTTGAAGATGATGTGTCCAGTACACAATTTCTGATATCTGCAAAGTCTCACTGTATCTGAGACTATGGAAGTCATCCAGTGGGTGAACCTTCATACAGGCTTTTGGCAACGATTCAGGTGAAACATCTCGTTTTGCTAATAAGCCTGTCTCCCAGCTATCTATTCCAGTTCTCAGAAACAGTTGTGCAAACAGTTTAAATGATGGACAAATATGAACAGCATTATATAAGGAACATGAAAGTAGTACCCTAAAGGAACAGTGGGAACATTTGCTTACCAGGATGAAAAGCTACTTAAAAACATATGTCAGGACAGACATAATTCCACTCCCAGAAGTAAGACAGAATTTAAGCCATATTGATTCGTGGAGGAGAGAAAAACACATTTATTTCAGTCAGCATCATAAAAACAGGGAAGCCCAGTGTCTTTGATTGCACTGTGTAGCAGATGCAGTGCTCCAAATGAGATGATGTGAGAAGCTTTGCTTTGTTAGGTGCAGCACTGTCACTGATGTTTTGCCAAGCATAGCCTTTGGAGCAGACAAAAACTGTGGGAGCTTCTAGAAGGAAATGATTATAAAAAGCAAAATGTTGATCTTTAGTGAAAAAGAGAGCCTTCGGGTTTTATGGCTGGGGCCATGGCTGTGGGCCCTGTTTTTGGTACTACCATCTCATCACAGCACCTTACATCTGCTGCTCAGGGAGAGGCTGTGCTGACTGCCCCAAATGAGGCAGGCCACGGGGTGATCTTCCCAAATTAGACTACATGTTGTTGTGTTATTAAAATAGAAGTTTTGACTACTATAGGCAGCTCTGCAGTGATCTCAACTTCAGAGAGGTTACAAAGAAGGGAGAACAAACTCTGCTCAGCGTGATTATTTTAAACTGATTGCACCTCACTCCAGCATGACTGAATTCACAAATAAAATTCCTTGAAATTTGTCACACATGGAGGAAAAATCAGTGTTCACTTATCAGACCATCTGCCAGAAGATGCAGGTGGTGTGGAAAGGAGGAAAGCCTGCTGCTTTGGCAGCAGCAGCAGTGGTAGACAAGTTTTCAGATGATTAAAGAGGTTGTTTTTCAACTCAAAGTTTAAATGCCTTCCACTATCTTCCAAACCTAAGAATAACGCTTGTTTGAAAGTAAGGAACGAAAAGAGAATGCTGGTAATTTTTTTTTTTTTTTTTTTTTTTTTAATATGATTCACTCATTTCTAGAAATCTCATCTGCTTTTCTCTAAGAGTTCACTTTTGGAGACTCTTGAGAAACACAATTATTTTGTTTTTCAGTAATTCAGTCTTTCTTATCCCTTTGTTAACGTGACAAAAGCAAGGCTGTTCTTTCACAGAAGCAACTTCATGAACAAGGTGTTATGCTTTATATTGTATTAACGATTCTGACAGGCGCCTTAAATTTGAAAAGCAATGATTTTATTATTTATTTGTAATTTATTTGTAATTTGTAATTAATAATCCTTAGAAATTCTTAAGTATGTTGACTTTGGGCACATTATCTGGCCCACCTTCACATACGGTAAAACCTTCGGGAGGACAGCCAAGTTACTGCACTTGAAGCTGTCCAAGGAAGAACTGGAGCATTACTTCATGAAAGGTCTGCCAAGAGGTCATTTGCATCATTATAAAGGTACTGCTGTGTTCTTCTCATCAATCCATATCTTCTAACTGAGAGACGTGTAAATTGCAGTATTAAATTACACCAGTTCTTCCACTTATATTGTTGTCTAAGAGCAGCAATCATAGTTTTGCCATCGAAAGTTGAATGCTAACCTCAGTTCATCACTTAGATACAGGTAATATGAAGAATCAGGTATCTCCAGCCCCTTCCTTTCTTAAAGCAGGTGTTGAATACGTCCGAACTGAGATTTATCCCACCTATTTCTAAATCAAAGTGATTCTTGTCTATTCAGCTGTATTTTCAGTTGTACCAGATAATCATGCAGAGGGTGGTGAAGCTCTGGAACAGGCTGCCCAAGGAGGTTGTGGATGCCCCATCCCTGCAGGCATTCAAGGCCAGGCTGGATGTGGCTCTGGGCAGCCTGGTCTGGTGGTTGGCGACCCTGTGCATAGCAGGGGGGTTGAAACCAGATGATCATTGTGGTCCTTTTCAACCCAGACCATTCTATAATTATATGATTTCTCTGCACTGGTGACAGGAAAGGTAGCAACTAATTTAGCCTAGGCAATGATGTTTTAGACATTAATGTCAGAGAAGATAATTTCACACTAATGATTTGTGCTGCAAGAACAATCTCCATATAGGAAAAAACTTCCTTACAGCTCTTCCAACAGGTAGTTGTTCAATCATGTAAGAAAAATTACATGCAGAATTGAGGGATATAAGCTAAAGGCAAATAATCCAAAAGAGTTTTGTATATGTATATGATATTAAAATATAGTTGCATAACATGTTTAATTAATTTTTCTTTTGCCTTAGGAAGTAACTTTCATGAATTGATCAGATGTTTGCAACCAGCATAAAACAAAGCATCACTGAGAACACTGAGGTTTTCATCCAAGTGCTTGGAACATTGTGCACATCAGCGTGGGGACGAATCATGCCTCTGAAATTCAGAAATACTGACATAACCTCAATTTGGAGTGCTGAGTTTAGGAGTGATGTGGAAAAGAACATAACCTCTGAATGCTCTGCAAGCTGAAGTATAAATGCTTTGTTCTGAAATGAATAAATTGCTTCTTGAAAGCAATGTATTACTCACTGAGAAAGATACACCTATTGAATGAAGCAGCACAGTGCAGCTGAGCAGGTGAAATATCATCAGCCTCTGTGATGCATTGCTTTCTCAACTCTATTTATCTTCTGTTTGCTCTCCTGTATTATTTCTTGGATGGGATTCACCACCTACTGAAATACATATATTAAATAAGCCATGCTTCCGCATAAAACTAAGGTTCCTACTGGCTAAATTGCCTGCATTACATTACAGTTATCCTGAGTGTGAAGTACGTGCCAATGGATAAATTAGACCGATGACTGATGAGTGAATATTTTGGTAAATGTGAAACTGTATTCGGTAAATAATAACCTAGCAAGTAAATAAAAATGAAGTATTATATGAACTGCACCAACTATAGAAACATACTCAGTAGGGAACACATTAAGGTGCTTTTCAGATTTTTGTATCTTTGCCATCGCCAAAATGCATAAATGCTGTTAGGCAGATTTATGAAGCTTTGAAGAATGTAGGTAATACTTTCAATCCTGATATGCATTAGTAGCTTTTTTTCTCTGTATTTTGTGAGCATAGAAAAAATATTCTTTAGGACTGGTTATATTTACTGCATCTGAAAAAAATTATGGCAGTATAAATCATGTGGATATGAAAAGCAGTAGTGAGGAAAGTGAAGGTATTTATTCAAAGAAAGGGATGTAAGTTTAAAGATGAAGTTTTCAGTATGATTATAATGTTTAATTAGCTATCTAGGTTAAAAATGTTTATCAACATGCAGCTGACATCTTCTTTGTCACTCTACCATGTATAAAGAAAGCTTGAGAGATTAAAAGATTGTGGGGGGTATTTTCTTTCAAACATCTTTATTTTTATTTATGGATATCTCCATACATATATCCCAGGTAAGTATATGTGGGCTTTTTTTTTAATCTCAGGAATCTCAGGAACACTGAGATTGAAAGCTCCTGGGTGGTATCAGGTTTGTATGAGTTCTGCATCTTCCTTCAGAAAGCCTAAGAGATTGTGCTACAACAAATAATGCTTTCTTCTGGGAGTTTCTCCTGGTGATAATATTTTTTCTCTGCTGATTGTAGACAAAGATGTAGATGACAAGTGTAGAACAGATGCCTAACTTCATGTGCCACTACGGCACATGCACTGACCTAATTAAGGTCAGATTTAATCCTAAAGAGATTCCTTGTTATTCTAGATCATCTTGAAACCAACCCAACCTATCCCCTCACCTGATAGCATAAACAGTGGGGAGACTTCAGCCCAAGATATTTTCACTGTAAATTCAAATGTAGAGAGAGGGAATATGTCTAAGGAAACATCATGTCATCAAAGCTGATCTATTTTCAAGAAAAATAGCAGTTACAACTATGATTTACTTTAGGAAAATGTTTTGAGATTCTGAATAAGGGCAGGGACACATGGTACTTGTGTACATATGTTGTCCATTCATGTAATAAAAAACTTCTAGCAAGAAACCTTTAGGTATAATTCAACAGAATTACTTGTTTTTAACAGTTCATGCCAAAATATCAGACTATTCAAATAGCTACATAACCCAAATAGGGAAACTTAGGGAAGCTAAAATGACTTCTATGATTGTACTAACATAAATTTAAAATTATTAAGCAAAGGAAGGCAATAACTCTTGGTTTGCTTATACTCATGATGTCATTTTCAACACAGGTATGGTTAAAATATATCTCTTATATTTCATTCATTTTTGTATCATAGGGAAGCAGTTTGCTCTTAATTAGAAATGTCATTTTAATGCCATATTCTTTCTCTATTCAGTGGTGAAAATTTTGTTTTTCCTGAAAAAGTCCAGATTTATTATAACCATCAAATATGTTTCTGACAGTCTGAAGAACATCTGTTGTGCTGTCATAAGGATGGTCTATAGGAATTTTTTAATTTTGAAGATCTGAAATATCTGTAAGTTTCACCATAATAAAATTAATTTACAACTCCTAATATAAACTTTCTGTTGAGTCAAATGTTGTAGAACTATTTCCATATTACTTTGGTAAATTAAACATGTAATGAAATACTTTCATTAGTTGGTTTTTTTTTCAGAATAGGTCCAATCCTGTATCTGTTGAGTTATGCATCCTGCACGTTATGTGTGCATAGTGACTGTCTGTTCTGACCTGTGGAACATCACTGCTGAGAGCTGTTGTCTGTGCCTTGTATCATCAGTGCTGTCTGTGAGAAAGTGGCATAAATCATTGATGTAAAAATGATGATTGGGCAGCATTTTGCACTCATTTTATGCTAGACTTGCAGATGCGTAAATGATTGTACAGTACAGTGATAAACTGAGTCTGTAAATGTTCTCTTCCATATTTTCCACAAGAAACAGCACATGTATAACACTAATAAATTAGATGTCAAGTTGGAAAAACATCCACTTTCATCTTCTATCGTACTGTCAAATAAAATGAGGATTGTACAGGCATTGGCAGTTTGATCTGTTAGCAGAACTTTGCACCTGTTCACTGCATAAGTAACAACCATGTACTCAAAGGCATGTGTGTTGTTGCATAGGAAAATAAGGAATTAGATGCCGGGTGCACAGGTTGATATTCCATATGTAATTGTAGTGCATTGAAAACTATTTGCATAACTGTTAGAAATAACAGAGTTCTGTAAATCTGGAACTAATATAATAAAACAAGATTGTAATTTCTTGCAAAGCAAGTACGTCTCTAAATATGCAGTTATAGATGGCCAGTCTTGACCTACAAGTGTTAACTGCTGAAGAACACACAATTCTCCTAGCCAATTTTCACAATAATTGATACTACCATTAGTAAAATGTGCTCTGGATTTCCAGTGGGAATTTATAGTTTCTCAGTGGTGGATCTTGCCATGCCCTTGTCTGATAGAATGAAGTGACAACTACTACCAGAAATCATGCACATCACTTCTTAACTATTCCACTGACAAGAAAAATAAATTGGCCTTGTTAGATTTACTGAGTACATTAGTAGAGTTGCAGCCTTTTTTTTCCCCCAGTTTTCTATAAGCACAACATGAATATAAGTAGCAGTCTCATAAGTAACACTACTCGTTATGAATTATTATGAATACTACTCATTACTTGAATTTCCACTGATCATACATCCAAAGCACTGTAGCAACAGCCTACTCTTATGACCTGTATGCTGACTATCCACAGTGTCCCCTGTATCTTTTCCAGGTTCACTGATCTCCTGAATTCAGTATTCCATCTCATGTGTGACCTAAAGTTATTTTATTGCATTTGGCCATCTCAGAGTACAAGTAAGTCTGCTTAAGTGATGCAACTCAATTTGTTCCATATAATTTATTCTCCTTACTGTTACTGTTCTATCAGTTATTTGGCTTTTTTTTTTTTTTTTTTTTTTCCAGCAGAAGGTTTATATTTTCTTCCACATTTTTGAAAAAGATTTTGAATAACATTGCAATAATAGCAAACCCACTTACACTGAAAATACCAAGCAGAATACTGATTTGATACCTACGTGCTTTTAGCTTAGTCAACTTTTAATTATTTTGTATGTTTAATATATTTATTCTGTACTTTCTGGACTGCAATTAGGCTGTCCTCAGCTGGTAGAAAATTTCATGAAATATTAGGAGGTTAACTGCTCACAAATATCTTTTGTTGGTGTAAGTATCAGATTAGAACATGCCTCTGACCTGTCTAGCAGACATCTCTATTTTCTTCCTTTGTTAAAAAAAAAAGTTTAAGTTTTCTTTGTTTTTAATATATTACCTGTCTCATAATGACCAAGGACAATATTGCTGTCAGTTGTTCAATTTTTCTTTAATACCGTATACAAAATATCAATTCTACTTTGTAACTTAATATATTTTATATAAAATCCAATGTACAGTATCTTAAATTTGTTTAAATAGTATCGTAAACATAACTTCCATGAGGAGTCTGTCCTGGAGTGATGCAGTCTTTTGTTAATTATAGTTCCCTTTGATATCCCTGTTGTTCGGTAAAGAATCCAGCTTCAATTCTACAAATCTCCATCTGAACTCAGATTTGATTCCTGTCAAAGCAAAAATAAATTCCCGGGTTATTCATTTTCCACTTTGTGTCCCACACACAGCTAGATAAAGTCATGTGCTGGCTTGTCATTTGGCTGTGATTTGACATTATCTGCTTCAGAGCTCATCTTCGTCTGACAAAGCATCAAGATAATCTGTATCAACATATAAGAGAAACCCAGAAAACAAGCTGTCTGCCCATGTTGGGTCTGAAAAGAGACCATTTTGGTCAGCATAGAAGATCTCAAGCCATACTTCATCTTCTGGCTGAAGGTAAATCACAGTGGATCCAGAAGCTACGTCGTGGTTTCCTGTGTTTGCATCAAATGTCTTTATGCGGTACTTCCCGTTGTGAACCAGCCCAATCGCAAGGTGCTTATTTGCCAAAGTGATGTCATAAGAAAAATAATAAATCCCTGGGATGGCACAAATAAACTTCCCTGTGGAAGGGTTGTAATGTTCACCCTCGTTGAAGAGGACTTTATTGAATACAATTGGTAGTCTTTCCTCAGGGTAGCTGGTGGTGATGCCAACAGAGAAGGCAGATTTCAACACTATCTTCCCACACTTACAGACCCCTGGTGCACCTGGCTCTCCTCGGTCTCCTTTATCTCCCTTAGGTCCTGGTGGTCCAGCTGGACCTACTTCACCCTTGGCACCAATCAGTCCTCCTGGTCCTTTTTTCCCAGACTGACCTTGATCTCCTTTCTCTCCGGTTGGTCCTAATGGCCCAGTTTTTCCTCTTAAACCTTCAAAAACATTTTAAGTTAGTTAATCATTTCAATTATCATCTCAGTAAATGATTGCATAGGCTACTGGGTATATCTGAACAGACAGGAAAAGCAAGGTCAGAATTTCAGAATACTTCAAAAATACTTTCAAAACCTTCTAAATAAGTTTGTGAAAAGAATAGCAAGTTGAAGCAGAGCAGTGGACTACACAGCCTGTGAGTCCTTTGTTTTATATTCCTAGTTTTCTTCATACGCCTTGATTAAACACTGAAGAACTATATATCCATTGCAGACATTGCATGGGTACTGCTGGTGTAGGGGACAGTAGTATGGTTACCCATACAGTTATGCCAATGCACTAAATATTACTTACTATTTCAGTGGTTTTATTCTGTACCTACAAACTTGTTAATTTCTGATTCCTGGCTAACAGCACAAATGAGACTAATTATTTGACACCAGTGCTGCCACACATACCTTTGCAATGTCCCCTTTTTGTTTAGGATCTGTGCACAGGAAGACTGTGCAATTACATTTATTTGCACACGTTAGACTATATGCACATTAGACATATCTAAAATATATCTGGATATTTTCTTTCTCTCACTACATGCATCACACTAAACCCACACAGGCACATACATACGCACACATGTTCATCATATGTATATGTGTAATAATAATGATGAAAGCTCTTATTTTGATGCACTATTATGTTAGTTGACACAAATATTCAATACCTGCGCTCCCCTTTTCACCTTTTTCTCCTTTCCTGCCATCTCTACCATCTCTTCCTGGAAGACCAATGCGTCCATGTGGCCCTGGGGCTCCATTAGCTCCAGGGGGGCCCACGGGACCTGGCAACCCAGGGATACTGCAGATGTATCTGGTATGGTAGTTCTCTCCTTTGAACTGGTTTTGAAGAGGTTGTTCACTGGTGTAGATGGCAAAACTTGTAATGTACAGCAACACAAACATCATTGAATCTGGAAAAAGTGCATATGGAGAAGACTTTATGTATATGATGATACTCTGATTCCATTCAGATGGCCAATGGGAGCAGCATTTTCTAGTGAGGAAAAAGCATGTACCTTTACTTCGTTTTGAAGCCCTTATCCTTGCAAATGAATCTAAATCCTGACTAACCGTAGCAGGAATTTGGCAAGTTTGGAGAAGGGACACCAGTAAGAGAATTACAGCTTCATTGTTTGGTTGTACACTCTGGTGACCACAGCACCATTACTTCGCTGTAATGGGCCAGATGGGAGCAGACCACTGTCCTATGGCTCTGGTGCTAACAGGGCTTTCTTTTTAAGCTGGATTGCCATGTGAAATGAACTACATCACAATATCTTGCAAGAAAATTAAAGCATTATATTTTGTGGTTGGATGTTTTCATGAACAATTCAATAAATTGGATTTCTCTGTTGCATAATATATACTGAGGGGTTAAAGAAAAAAACACTGCACAAACAGAAATGTGTTGAGGAGTTGCAGTACCTGATATACAAAGGTGCTCAAAACTAGCGTTGCATTAGCTGAGATTCAGTCATGAGTCAGGTGAGATAGAGTGAGTTGAGTTGTTTCTTCTAATTCACTTGCTGGACTCTCAGAGCATGTCTGTGGGGGGTTTTATTGGAGTTGTCCATTCCTTCAGAGCCAACTTACAGCACAGCAAACTGAAGTCCACTGGTTTCTGTGGGGAGAAAGAGAAGAAATGGGTCAAGGATTCAAAAAAATATCTGTGAAATACCATAAAACTCTTTTTACAGTGAAAATCAGTTTCATTCTCAAACTCATAATTATATTAAAAAATGAATCAATATAGAAATCCTTTTCATTCCCTACTCTGTTATATGATTGGCTTTGCTGATTGACTTGAAAATCCAAATGGTCATATTTACCTAAAGTTCATGTGATCTCCACGGCCACGCTGTGATTTATGGCATGACCAAAACTATTCAGCAGGGAAAAAGACCAGCACTTCCACATCCACACTCTTTACCAAGAGTAGGAAATGAGAGGCTACATCTTGATATTGATGCAATGAAGAAAGAAGAATGAAAAGATTACTGAAGAGAAGTAAGTGATGCTCCAAAATTATCTTCAGTGATTTATATTCTTCTTTTCATATTAAACATATCAAATTGGCAGAAACCAAACTATTAATTTTGCTGTCATTTGATAAATGCTTACAGTGTAGGCAGGCACAACAGCTTCCAAGAGTGAATTAACATATGAATGTACAGCATTAGAGGAGAACAGCAAATGATGACTCCAAGGCAGTAGTTAACTATAAGCACAAACTTTACAGCAGTGTTTGCTTTGATATACTACTGGTTGTACCCAAATAAGGCTCAAGGATTTTCATGGGACTTAAATCAGGGACAGCAATGCTGTCTGCAGAGAGGAACAATTTAATCATGTGGCCAGGAGGGAGCATCTTGGTGGGAACTGAAGCCTAAGACTGCCTATGCATGTTACACAGAGCTGATGGACGAGAAGCAGACATGACCTAAGAACCAAGGATGGGAACAAAAACTATCTTTTGCCAGATCAAAGCCTGAATCAGTAGGCTAGGTGTTCCCACACTGTGTTGTGCATCAGCCAAGCAGAAACAATTTCTGCAACTGCTGGTTTTGCCTGTCCAAGATCTTTGACAAAACACAACAAGAGCTGGCACACAGTTGCTCCTGTCATCAGCTGGCCAGTAACCTACTGATGTGTGAAGCTGTCTCCAGTTCCCATATCTCTCCTGCTGTTCTTCTCATGTGCCTATGGGAAATAAATTAGCCTGGGACATGTGTTTCTGCTAAGGCTCTGGGAAAAATTCGTTTGGGGAAGGCAGGGAGAACAGGGTTGTTGGAATAAGGATGTTCCTTAGTGGGACATTGTGGTTTGAGAGTGAGTTTGGCCAGGGAAGGGCACACAGGTGTTGGAAAATAAAGAACAGGAAAAGTTTTCAGCACTGGGATGGCGGTTCTTAAGGAAAGATGGGGCTGTGAACCAAAATAGGGGGACTGTAGGAAGGCTAATAGAGATGAGATTAGGAGAAAATGGTAATAAGGTTCAGATGATGATGTTCAAAGTCCAAAATTTAGGCTTAGGGGAAATGCAGAAGCAGCTAATTCCAACAGTGGTCCCCAAACAAATGACCTTTGGGAAGCCATGTGTTAGGCCACAGAATCAGGACCTGTTTTGGCCTTGACTTCTGGCTCTTATATTTCTTCACGCATAACAATCCTGTTTTAAAAGGAGGAGTGAAGGATGCGTCTCCACTTTATTGCAGCAGCCTCTTGGGAAGTGTGAATCACCTCAGACCAAGAGAGGATGTATAGCATTGAACCCACACCTCCTGTTTCCTGGGCGTTGCTTTAAAAAATAAACTGTTAGTCTGAAGGTGAACAATAACTTAAGGCCATGCTTTTGAAATTTCAGGCTGAATGAGGAGGCCAAAATCAGAGTTTTCAGTTCACTGAGACTCACGGAGTTAGAAGGTAGAGTAAGACTTCCCAGATTCTTTTTTCAGGAGTCACCTATATTCCAGTGCAGTACTTGATCACATAGAGTTAAATGTTAGGCAGAAAGTGAGTCACAAATTAGACTTCTTTTTTTCTAGTTGTCCTTTTCAAAAACGTACACTTTTGTCTGTAAGTTGGAATAGGAAACAATGTCATTTATATGTGCCAAATAATGTTTCTTCAAGGAAAAACAACACTTGAGAAGTTCACTTTTTTATCCAAATAGCAAAAATCAGAACAAGCAGATGTTATTCATGTTAACAACAATTACAATTATCTTCACTGAAGCCAGCACCAAAGATAATAAAGAGAATGATATGAACAAAGATTAGAATGTTCTTCCAAGTTTAGAAAGTGGCTTTTCAATAGGTACCAAATCGGAGCATGAGCACATGCCAAAGCTTTCACTGGAAAACTATAGACAAGCTCATCGCTTCTAATGTGAGGTGATTTCTAGAACAGCTTTTCTAAGTGAGGGTGGCACATGCAGTTGTTTCATCCCTTTTATATTGCACAAGTAGCAGAGTCATTGCCCTTGTGCATGAACATGAAAGATCATCTGATTCTTTTAATGTCAGAAAAGTATTCTAAAAGTTATTCTGATATGTTGTTGCAGATCTGCTGACATGACAGATCTACCATGAAAAGATACTCCATGTATTACATTCCTATTGAAGCTACATGCTGGACTGAGGATCTGTATCCTCAAGTTTCTAGGAAATCTCAATGCATTACCAATATACTCAGATTGTACTCATTAACATTTTTTTTAAGTTTAAGAATTAAGGAATTGTAGCAAATTCCCAGTCTTGAGACTTCTTGGTATATGATCTAATCTTCCTCCCTTATCCAGCTATGGACATCTTAATTTTTAAATTTACTAATTGGCATTGTTCTGAAACAATCATAAGAGATTTCCCATCAATCTTTTATAAATAAAAACTGGGTCAAAAGCCAGCGATTATTAGTCACAAGCTATCTTGGCTGTATTCTTACTTTTATGTTTCCTTGCTAGCTTTGAGTTCACTTCCAGGACAAGTACACAGGCATCTGAGTAGGATGGAAAGATATATTTAACTTCTTTGTGCAAAAAGGTGTAGATGAGAAATATTAATACTTTTTGTCCTTTCTTATCTGTAAAATTCACAATGGCTTAGTAGTGCGGAACACAACAGTCAGTGCATCTGTGCCTCTCAGACAGCAGAGGCTCTTAAGACCTCACATCACTACCTTGTATCCCTGCTGTGGGGTGTACACATCAAGTCCACAGCTGGCCATTGCCACACTCTGCGGGTTAGCTATAGAGCCATCAATCTTCACATAGTTTTATGTTGTCTTTGTTTCCCTTAAGAGAGGGAGAGTGACCTGAAACTTTCTGAGCTGTCTGAACTTGTGATTGCTAGTCCCAGAATGACTGATGGTGCCCAGAGGGATCAGCCAGTGGAAAAGAACATTAGCTAAATATTTCTGAGAAAACAATCCATAAAGGCCTTATTAGCAGTGCTGACATTTAATGGTCTGATTTGCTTCAGTGTGCACTCAGTCATGTTTAAATAGTCTCCCTCATAACTATGTTGAATGTGGTCAGATTCTTCAACCATGTCTTAATGCCTTCACAAAAAATAAAGAGCTTATAGTCGATCCCAGAAGATCAATTTGTTTGATTTTCAAAATATCAAAGCAGTGGGATTCATTTTATTCCTCAGTCTCTCACTTGAAATCCATCCATTCTTATTATTTACAAGGTCATTTTTACTAAAAATGCCCTAGAATATGATAAAGGCATTTATCAGTGAGATAGACTGCCTCACCTGGGGGGAATTTTCACATGAGGTCTGGTTCGATGTGTACCAGAAAATGCAAGGAGATAAATAAAATCTGATAGAAGTTGTCTTGACTGACAGCTGAGAAGTTAAGTCAGTTGCTTTTGGTCTGCAACTGTGACTCGTGTATCCAAGATCTGGGGAACTACAGGCCTGTCAGCCTGACATCAGTGCCAGATAAGGTTATGGAACAGATCATCTTGAGAGAGATCACTTGGCATGTACAAGACAACTGGGGGATCAGGCCCAGCCAGCATGCGTTCATGAAAGGCAGGTCCTGCTTGACCAACCTGATCTCCTTCTATGATTGAGTGGATGAGGGAATGAGGGATGCCTGGTGGATGAGGGAAATGCTGTTGACATAGTCTACTTAGACTTCAGCAAAGCCTTTGACACTGTCTCCATCAGTATTCTCCTAGAGAAGCTGGCAGTCCATGGCTTGGATGGGTACACTCCTTTCTGGGTTAAGAACTGGCTGGATGTCCAAGCTCAGAGAGTGATGGTGAATGGAGTTAAATCCAGCTGGCAACTGCTCACGAGTGGTGCTCTCCAGGGGTCGGTATTGGGGCCTGTCCTGTTCATTGTCTTTACAGATGTCCTAGTTGAGGGGACTGATTTCATTCTCAGTAAGTTTGCAGATGACAGCAAGTTGGGAGGAACTGATGATCTGCTTGGGGATAGGAAGATCCTGCAGAGGGATCTGGACAGGCTGGATCTCCATGCTGAGGCCAATGAGATGAAGTTCAACAAAATCAAATGCCGAGTCCTGCACTTTGGCCACAACAACCCCAGGCAATGCTACAGGCTTAGGGCAGAGTGTCTATGGAAGAAATAGACCGTGGGATGTTGGTCGACGCTCGGCAAAACATGACCTAGCAGTGTGTCCAGATTGCCAGGAAGGCCAATGGCATCCTGGCTTGCATGTGAAATAGTGTTGCCAGCAGGAGCAGGGAAGTGATCATCCTTCTGTACTGAGCACTGGCGAGGCCACATCTCAAGTACTCTGTTCAGTTTTGGACCACTCTTTACAAGAAAGACATCAAGTTTCGTTGTCATGCTCAGAAATACCACAGGGAGAACCTCAAAATGGAACTTCATTAAGTGCAACTTAAGGGAGAGGTGATGGCTGTGAAGTTGAATCTCACAAAGGTGTAGGTCTCAGGAGACCGTGTCTCTACAGAAATGATAGATGCATTTTCAAGCATGTAAAAGCTGAAACTTAATGTAAATAAATGAGGCTCAACCTTCTGAGAAATTAATGCATTTTGAAAACAGCACCAGGGCACTGAAGCCTTATATGCTTTTCAGAATGCCACACCACAAGCTGAGTTACGTCTTCAAACACAGG